AGTCTCTGGAATAGGCACATGGCCGTTGGACTTTCTCTTGCGGCCTCGCTTGGGCGTAACTTCCTCGACCACCGGCGCGGGCTCCTCGACGACGGGCTTTGGCTTGGGTTGACGGCCACGCTTGCGCTTGGGAGGATCTTGCGTCTCGGGCTCGGGAGGCGGCGGCGCGATGGCTTCTTGCTCCGGTACAGGCGTGCTGGGTTCGGACTCGACAACGACTGCCCTCTTGCCTCTAGGGCCTCTCTTGCGACCGGGCTTCGCTGGTGAAATTGTCTGGGGTTCAGGCTCGGGCTCGGGCTCCTCTTGGAATGAGCTGGAGTACTTGTCGGCGGCGGCAGCTCTGCCTCTTCTCTTCGGGCCGGGCTTGTTCCCTCCAGGCGTTGCTGAGCGGTCATCCTGTAACACGCCGTCGAACAACTTTGGTGGGTTGCGGGTTCGCTTTCCGGAGACAATAACACCGTCGCCTTCAGCAGCCTTTGCACTAGCTTGAGGCTGGCTTCTGAGTTGCCTGCCCTCTCCGCCGCCGTCTCTTTGAGCATCGGGGTCTTGGTTTCCAACCTTGTTGGGATGAGGGTCGTACTCAAATCCAAATGCGGAGGCCATGACGCGGTCTTGCCAGCGCTGCTCGAGGACACCAGCGTCCTTTTCTTTAATGCCCGCTCTGTAGCCTTGCACATCAAAGTCCTTTTCGATGTATGACTCCACCTTGGAAAAGGCGTCCAGGTCGGCAGTCTTCTTTTCGAAGGCGGCATCTTGAATCGCACGACGTTGCGCGTTTTCTTGGTCGTCGACAACCTTGGTGCATTCCTTGTACTCCTCCTGCCAAGCGTAGAGGCTGTAATTGACTTGGTCTAAGAGGTCCCACAATTCCTCATAAGACAGCTTCTTCGTGTCCTTGAGGAACTCGATGTACACGGCAGGGTCGCGCACTTTCTTGAATGGGTATTGCTTTCTGAGTCGCTGCCTGGGCCCAGCAAGAGCTGGCGTGTTGGAGCCAGTGGCGGCCGTCGAGGGCAAAGCTGGCGATCCTTGACGGGGAGTAAGCGCAGGTGTGGGGGCTTCCGAGTTGTACCTGGATTCCTGGGAGAGTTGAGGACCTTGGCCGTCGGGCTGATGCTCGTCTTCCTGGTCGGCATCGCGGTTAGCCTCTTCGGCATCGGCATCGGCATCTGCAGTAGCATCATAGTCTGCGTCGCCATCAGCGTGCTGGGCGTCGGCTTGCTCTGCACTCTCATCCGCGTCGGCGTCACCATTGGCATCTGGTCCATCAGCATTGGACGTTGGCGCAGAGGCTTCGACGGTCACCGGGTAAATGGAGTGAGTCACGTATTCGCCTTCAATGTATGGTGTTAGGTAGGACCATGGGTAGCGGGGCTTCTTGAACTCCGGCTCCTTGATCTCAGGCTCTTCGGGGATATCCTCGGGACTTGGGGCAACGTCGGGCTCGTCAGCTGGGGCATCCTCTTGCGGTTCAGTTGCCTCGGCCGCCTCTTCGGTTGCCTCCTGCTCTGGAGCGTCGACCTCCATCTCGTCATGAATTGGCACATCCTCGACTGGCTGGGCAGCGAAAGACTCGGAAACCTTGACTTCAGGCTCGGCTGCAGGTTCCGGGGTTTGAGGCTTCTCCTGCGGCGGAACATCATCGACAGCGTCGACATCGCCGTTGACAATTTCGCCATTAACGGTAGGCTCATTAGCAGGCTCAGAAATTGGCTCTGGGGACTGTTCATTGACGGCAGCATCGTTGATGGTGACGACGGGATTGGTGGTCGTTTCGGAATTGTCAGCAGCGACGGCAGGTGCGGAGTTTTCCTGGAGGCCGAGAACCAGCTGTGGCCCGGCAGCCGCCTCATCCGCTTCCGGCTCGACCGCCGTGTGAGGAGCGGTGGCTGTTGGCCGGACGGGAGAGCTGGCTTCTCTCTTGGGGTAGAATGAAAAATCTTCGGCAGGCTCGTCGCGGCGTGTAGAAGTCGGCTGGGGCTCTTGGGCCGGGCTTGTGTTGTTAAAAATGGAGACATGGTTGACTCGGATAGGTTGAGGGTGAGCAATTATCGGGCCCGAGTCCATCTCCTCAGTGAATGAGACGGCAGAGTGATTCGGTGTCTGCACAGGCTGGGGCTCATCTTGGTTGAGAATGTGCTGCTCGACTGGGGGAGCGATGTGGCGAGGCTCCTGAGTTTTCCGCTGAATTGGTGAGGAAGGATCGTGGTTCTCGGGCAACGAGATGCGGCCGGAGGTGTCATTCTCATCCTCATCGTGGTCCGAATGATCATCGGAGCTCACGAGATCGGATGAGTCGCCGACGACCTCGATGGTGTCCTTGACGATGTCCTCGTCTGACTGGTGTGAGTAAAAAGACTGAGGCTCGACGACAGTCTTCCGGGCCGGGGTCCGGCGGCGAGCGGCGGGCAGACTGGCGACGGAAAAATCTCTGGAGGTGGCGCGACGCTTTTGGGAAGCCGGAGTGAAGTACTCATCGTCGGCGACCTCACTGTCAGCTCGTTTCTTACGAGTGGCAGTTCTCGGTGCCGGATGTCCAATCTCTGGCAGCTCGTCCTCAAAGTCTGCAGCCGAGTAGTCGATCTTTGTCCGTTTTCGCAAAGTGTGAGGTCCCTTACGATAGGCCTCATCCTCTTCATCGCCATTGCCGTCATATCCGCTGGTGCGAGATCTCTTTCTAAGAGCCTTGCCTGGGCCAGCAGGGCCGGTGCTTGGTGAGGAGCGAACGCTTGAGAAGGGATTGTTCATCGGAATGGGCTTGGCACCCCGACGATTGGGAGGTGCTGTCTGAGGAGTGCGAGAAGTGACTGCGGGAGGAGAGCGCGTCATTGTGGTGGAAGGAGAATCGCAGGCGGCGCTGGTGTCTGATTGAAAACTTGAATTTGGCAGTGTCTTTCTCCGATTCGGGCGTCCGCCACGAGGTCGCTGCTCCATGTTCTTGTGAAGGGAGAAGCGTTGATGATGGAGTGACGGGGGGTGGGTAGAATCAAAATAAGACGGGGAATTAAGTTGCAGGCGGAGAAAGGGTGGGTGTGGGCGAAATGGTCAGAGCAAGCCGACAGGACGCTGGGGAATGGCAAGAAACCATTCACGGAGACGAGCAGAAGTCTCGCAATGTCCCGATGGTGTCGATGATAAGTCTGAGGGCGATTTGCCGGTGGTGTAAGGGCCGGCAGCGGTGGTGAAAAATATGGTAAACCAGGATTGATGTGCAAGTGGTGATGTGGTTTGACTGACGGGCCCTTGCTGCTTGATTTGGCTGGACCGACTGGCTGGCTGGCTGGGTTGTTGGCACGGGTGAGGAGCGGTACCTTGCTGACGGCGGAGAGTTAGTGGTCGGGCGAGGTACCTCGTTGAGTTGTAGTGGTAGTGGTGGTGGCCAGGCGAGGCAGGAGTGCTAACAGCGACAGGAGTGAGCTGTGCGTACGGTCTAAGGTCTTTCGTGTGCCTGGGCCTTGCTGCTATTGCTGTTGCTGGTCTTAGGCAGGTGGTTTGAGCCAGTAAATGGTAATAAGGGTCGAATAATTCGGGCTCTGAAAGCTCTGCGTCCGCGTCGCTGGGCTAAAAATGAGTGCCTCTCAAGTAAAGATGCTGAGACGCAGAATCCGGCGATTGTGTTTTTGAGAAGGCGACGAGATTGCAGATGGGAGATATCAGGGACGCCAAAGTGAAGAATATGGCTGACCCCCTTCTTGTTGATGCGATGCTTTTGCCGGCTGAGGTGCGCTGCTCTCACGCCAGAGAGTTCTACCAGGCAAAGGTACATACGCCTTGTACCTTACCTTAACACGGCATGGAAGGTACGGCAGCCTTCTGAGGTGAGGCGGCCTGCTCTTTCTCAGCCGGGACTGGGACTGGGACTCAGTCTCTGTCAGTCAGTCATTCACTTGCAAAAATCCAAATTTGCCAGCAGTCCCGACCCTGGCTGCAACTGGCGCCACCGGCTGCCACTCCCCTTGAGAGTGCGCTGCTGGGGAAAGGAGTGCCCGCGGCTGGCTGGGGATGGGGTAAGCTGCCTCATTGGGTGATGCGATCCCGAGCAAGCCACGGCTGGGCCATGCGAAAAACGGTACATGCGCGGTACGTATCTTTTCTCCTCCTGACACCTCACTGTCCTCGTGCTCACTGCTGATGACGATGGTGGACATTGGTCTCTTAGAATGAGTAGCTGGTTCAATGATACAGACTTTCATATGTCTCCCTCTCTCTAATTAAGCAGCGAAATAACAGACTGGTTTAGTAATTATATATCAACAGGTCGGAGGTGAAGATGGTCTTCACATTGAATCATCATATCCCGCCGGGCAGAGAGAGTTATCATGCTCAGTGAGCAGGGCATCTTCCAGCACCATCGCATCTCCTCAGGCGGCATAAGCGCTGTAAGATAATAACTCTTAGCGCCTTTGTCCACTATGACTTGCACCCAGCAGGCACCGTGTCTGTCGAGGCAGGACCCGCCGGACGCGCTTTTCATCCTGGGCAGGGGCCCTGGGCCAATAAGCTCTCGCCAAACGACTTTATGCCACATGCAGACTAGCGCATCCGCATGTCCTGTTCCTGATGATGCACGTCTCCAGCTGCCAGATGGACGTGCCTGGCTGGGCGTCGGTCGGGTCCAGCGTCTACCTCAGTCTCCTCACTCCAACGAACCAGCGAATTGCCCTTGATACCAGTCAATCGCAACGCCATATTCAGCTCATTCAGCTGCTAAGAGTCTCGGAGTTTCTTCAAGCAGAAGATCAATTGCCTTGAGCTGTTGTTTCAAGCTTTTCACCTTTCATACGGCCCCTGACTCAGCTTCCCGAGCATCCATCCATCCCTTGGACGAGCTCCCCGACCTGCCCTTTCCGGGCCAGGGCCAGGGCCTTCCACTGCCTTACACAGCACCGCCAATCGTCTTACCTGCCTGCGGTAGTGTACCAGATAGCTTGTGACGTCTGCCCCGCAACATCACCTCTCCATCAACAACAACACCAATAACCACCACTACCACCACCAACATGCCTCCCAAGAAGACCAAGGCTGCCGCTGGCGGCGACGACATCGACGATCTCTTCGAGGGCATCGGCGGTGAGGCTCCCGCTCCCAAGAAGTCCCTCGAGAAGAAGCCCAAGCCCACCACCGCCGCCTCCAAGGCCATGGCCGACCAGGACATCCTCGCCGAGCTCGAAAAGGACCTCGAGCAGCCTTCCCGCCCGCACACGCCCCGTATTAAGGAGACGGCCGCCAAGGGCCCTCCTCGACGCTCTGCCACCCCGACGATTGACGACAAGGCTGCTGCCCCTCGCAAGTCTACCGACAGCGCCCGCTCTTTGCGCGCGAGCTTCACCCCCAGCGCTACGAGCTCCGATCTTCAAGAGACGGAGAAGACGACTGCGTCGTCCTCTGCCGCCGCTGCCGCTCCCGCTGCTGGTGGTGGCTGGTGGGGAAGCGTCTTCTCCACTGCCTCTGCCGCCATGAAGCAGGCCGAAGCTGCGGTCAAGGAGATTCAGAAGAACGAAGAGGCCAAGAAGTGGGCTGAGCAGGTGCGAGGGAACGTTGGCGGCTTGAGAGCATTGGGTAAGTACTGAAGCATCATTGCATGCGTAGAGGCGTTTCCGATCGGCCTGGTCCATTTTTACTGACAACGTATGCCCAGGCGACAACCTTCGCCAGCAGGCCATGCCGACCTTTACAAACATCCTCCACACCCTCGCGCCCCCGATCAGCTCCCACGAACGTCTGCTCATCCACATCACCCACGACATGGTCGGATACCCCTCTCTCGACCCCTTGATCTACGGCACCTTCTCGCGCGTCATGTCCCAGGTCGAGGGCGGCGAGCTCATGGTTATCCAGCGCGGCCAGGAGAACACCAGCAGGAGATACTCCAACGACGGCGGGGCCGGCTGGCGAGATGGCCCCTGGTGGAGGCAGGCTGACTCCCCTCGTGACCTCGGCATGATCAAGGGTCTCATCGAGGGTACCAAGCTCTGCCGCGCAGGCGCTGAGGGCTACGCCAACGAGTACTTTGGAGCCCACGGCGGTCTGGAGCAGGCCAGGATTCGTGCCACCGAGCCTCTGAGCGAGGAGAACCCGGTGCGCAGCTCCGACCTGTTCCTTGCCATCCAGGCTGTTGGCACGACCTCAGACTCTGCCCTCTTTGCGCGAACTGCGGCTGTTGAGAAGGAGAAGGAGGCGTCTGCTGTGGCCGATGTGGATGAGGCGGATGAGATGGTCTGCTTTGCGGTCTTCTGCCTGGACCCCGTCCACGAGATTGAGTACTCGGCCATCAGCCAGTCTATCCCCGCAAGGTGGATCCAGTGGTTGGATGCGTCCAACCCGTTGACGCCCGCCAGCGGCGAGGACGGCCAGGCGTCTTTGAACCAGTCGATTCCTGACGAAATCCGTGAGATTGTCGAGGGCGGCGGCGTCGACCCCCGCGAGTGGGTTGCCGAGTGGATCGAAGAGCTTCTTGGCCTTGCGGTCGGCGTTGTTGCTCAGAGATACGTCGCCAGGAGAATGGGCGTTGGTGAGGGCGGCATTGGCAAGGGCAAGAGGCGCATGGATGAGCTCGTTGAGGATGGCGGCGGCGAGGCTGCCCGTGCCGGACTGATTTGAGTTGGAGGTTGAGAGCCAGAGTGTATGATTTTATTTGCTTGGGAGTTTGGGTATACCTGTTTTCCTATCCATCATCCCAACCGGCATTCTGTTTGCTGGTCACAAACTAGAAGCGAAGTTCTACTATTGGGGAACGGTGGCATATGCCTCTTCCCAGGACACATTGTCGGGGTTTGGATTTTGAATATCACGGATGTTATCGAGACGACGTATTTCACGATATCTTTAATGGCTTCCAGGGTTTTCCTCCGATTGTCTTGTCTCACCCGGAGATGAACTGTGCTTTGCGTCATAGTTCACTGGGAAGGCGTGTTCGAACATGGCCTGTCGATATTAATTATCTGATCTGCCCTGCATGATCCCTCCTGAAGATCGTGGTGCAAATCATGTGGCTAGAGTTTCATGGATACCCCAGCTCCGACTAACACGGTTTGATGAGGCCAAGTGCCGCCAGCTGGAGCATCCATCCTGCCGCCCTTCCCTTCCGTTCCCAGCGAAGACCCTTCCCGGTCTTACATAATCAGAATCTACCCACCGTAAAATCAATCCTGAAGAAAATTTCCACCCATTGCCTCCTCCTCGTCCATCGCAACCACCATCAGCAACATTTGGCATCGCGCATCTCGCGCAGCTCAAGTGAGCATCAACGAGCACAGGCATTAATGCTCATTGCCTGCGGCTCACTGCTATATACAAACCCGTCGTTCCATCACGTGTGGGAACACACAATATACACATACACAAGACAGCAGCGTCATACCAGTCACTCGCGCCTACACCAAGGCACCGCTACGAGTCCTCGCTTTTGCGAGGGTCTTCTACCCGCGCCGCGTTTTGCGGAGCAGATTTGAAGAGGACGGGGATTTTGCGGGCGGCAGGGAAGGCGTCTCGACCTACGAGGCCAGCTTCGGTTGGTCTCGCGGGAAGGGACGTCGTTCTTGTCGTCTGGTTGAAACCGCTGCCAGAACAAAGGACCATCATAGTCCATGCCCATCTTGTTTCCTACATGGGCGAGGCTCCAGGCGTACCGACATTTTGTGCGTGAAGTGACTGCTTATTTGGTGATGAGTGTCTTCTTTTTGTGATCATATCCTTGATATCGAATGGGAGGGAAGCGCCGTTCGGCAGCATGATGCCGTCCAATCTTTGACGGACCCAGTTCGACGCCGACGCCGCTGATTCGTCGCGCGTGCCGGCCCCGACTTCCCGCCTGGCTGGCGCTGAAATGTCACCACCGAACTTGCCTTGACGTCACTTGGCAGTCAGCCCAAGAACCGCACCTTTCATCGACCAAACACACACACTCACCTTACCCTCGTTTCTGCCGTACGTAGCTCTTTATCAGCTAGCGTGTGTTCCCTGCCAAGGAAAATAGATGGCTTCAATCCTTCTCGACGTCGTCGTATATCGCGCAACCTTTGCATGTGCTCGTGGTGTTTCTGTGTCTTGAAATACAACTTGACCCCAAGCTCGTCTCACTCCCATCTCCCATTCACGATACCACACATCACACTAACAAAACATCCAAAATGCCGCCCTCAAAGTTCTCCCACCTCCCCCTCAGCACCTCGGGCCCCATCCCCTGCGCCGTCACCGGCGCCGCCCTGCTCAACACGCCCTACCTCAACAAGGGCACCGCCTTCCCGCACGACGAGCGCCGCGAGTTCAACCTCACCGGCCTGCTCCCGCAGAGCATCCACACGCTGGACCAGCAGCTCAAGCGCGCCTACGAGCAGTACGCCAGCCGCCACGACGACCTCGCCAAGAACACCTTCCTCACTTCCCTCAAGGAGCAGAACGAGGTGCTGTACTACCGCCTGCTGCAGGAGCACCTCCCCGAGATGTTCAGCATCGTGTACACGCCGACTGAAGGCGACGCAATCCAGAACTTCTCGCGCCTGTTCCGCAGGCCGGATGGGTGCTTTTTAAACGTGAATGATGTGGACAGGGTGTATCATGACCTGGCGCAGTGGGGGAGGCCGGAAGACATAGACTACATCGTCGTCACTGGTAACTCCTGACCCGAGACTCGCAAGGGGAGTTTGTTTGCTAACGAAGACGACAGACGGCGAGGAGATCCTCGGGATCGGCGACCAGGGCGTCGGCGGCGTGCTCATCTCCGTCGCCAAGCTCGTCCTCACGACGCTCTGCGCCGGCATCCACCCCAACCGCACGCTGCCCGTCGTGCTGGACTGCGGCACCGACAACCAGGAGCTGCTCGACGACGAGCTGTACCTCGGCCTGCGCCAGAAGCGCGTGCGCGGGCACAAGTACGACCGCTTCGTGGACGAGTTCGTCAAGGCGGCGAGGAGGCTGTATCCGAGGGCGTACATCCACTTTGAGGATTTCGGGTTGACGAATGGTGTGTCGTTGATTTATTCTTCCCCCCCTCCTTGAGACGGTTTGCAGGACTGACGCTGCGGGTGGCCAGCGAGACGCATCTTGGATCAGTACCGCCCGCGTATCCCCTGCTTCAACGACGACGTGCAGGGGACGGGCTGCGTCACCCTCGCGGCCATCATGGCGGCGCTGCACGTCAGCAAGCAGAAGCTCTCCGACCTGGAGCTGGTCATCTTCGGGGCCGGCTCGGCGGGCGTGGGCATCGCGGACCAGGTGCGGGATGCGATTGCCGCGGAAGGGGGCATCAGCAAGGAAGACGCCGCCAAGCAGATCTGGTACGCCTTCTTTCACGCTTTCGTCATCACGGCATCAATACTGACCAAGTTACAGGCTGATTGACAAGCCCGGACTCCTGATCACCTCGAGCGAGCTCTCCTCCGCGCAGAAGGGCTTCGCTCGCGACGCAGCCGAGTGGGATAACGCCTCCGCAGACCTCCTAACCGTCATCAAGAAGGTGAAACCCAACGTCCTCATCGGCACGTCCACCAAGCCCAAAGCCTTCACCGAAGAAATTGTCCGCGCCATGGCTGCCGGCGTCGAGCGCCCCGTCATCCTCCCCCTCTCCAACCCCACCCGCCTCCACGAGGCCGTGCCTGAGGACATCCTCAACTGGAGCGACGGCAAAGCCCTCGTCGCCACAGGATCCCCCTTCAAGCCCGTCAAAGGCCCCTGGGGTCCCGACGGCAAGGAAATCGAGATCGAGGTCGCGGAGTGCAACAACAGCGTCGTGTTTCCAGGCATCGGGCTCGGCGCGGTGCTGTCGCGCGCGCGGCTAGTCACGGACAAGATGCTCGTGGCGGCGGTGGAGGGCGTGGCGGCGCTGAGTCCCGCGCTGGAGGACCAGACGGCGCCGCTGCTCCCGGGGGTGGATGTCGTGCGGGACGTGAGTCTGAGGGTGGCGCGGAACGTGATCAAGGCGGCGGTGGCGGAGGGGGTGGCTACGGAGGAGGGGATCCCCGAGGAGGACGGGGAGTTGGATGAGTGGGTGAGGGAGCAGATGTGGACGGCGGAGTATAGGCCGTTGAAGCTTGTGGGCATGGAGGGGGCGAGCAGGGAGGCGAAGGGGGAGATGGGCGTTGCAGGGAGTTTTAGCAAGCCTGGGAGTTGGTAGATGGTTAGACGTTTAGACGAGGAGTCTAGTTCTTTGGATATCTAATCTCCTATTTCATGAGACGTTTAGATTTTGTGATCTGATGGTTGGCTAGACTGGATACTGAGTCCACAAGTGTGCTTTGCGTGGGATCCGAGAGCAAAAGCTGTAAGTGACCAGCAGGCATACTAAGGTCAACAGTCTTCATTCACTTACTCAAACAGACAAATATGACAATAGAAAAGGACAAGTCAAGATAGTGATGGGTTATCAAGGCTATACAAATATTGCTAATCCAAGATTGGAACTGCACTGATGAAATAACACAACAAGAGGGTAGCCTTTTCGATTCTATACGAAATCATTAAATAACAAGGACGGCATCTATAATAATAAATTAAACGTTTTCACATTTTATAACTTAAGATTACCTAAGTTTATGTAAAAAGTAAAAAAGATAGGTTAAGTAACACTTTAAGCTCTTAAATAGATTCTACTTTTTTAATACTATTAATATAAATATATGAAAATAGCATTAGGAGGATGCTCTAAGCTATTATACGTGCAATTAACTACAGAAGCGTATCACTTATTTCAGGAAACATAGAAGGACATTTACGCATACACACAAACTACAAAACGTAAACGAATGTCCTGATCAGGTCAAAAAAAAGAGTGTAAGCGTGAGGTCAATGTATGCTACTACAGGCTCCTTCTACGTCATAGTGTCGGCTTCCTTTCACTCATTTGCCATCTTAGGTAACGATAATCATTTTGATTTTCTTCTTTAACGTAGAATCCATACAGATACGCATTAAATTCTCTCACTTCTGAAATACATTTTCGTCAGATAATTACCGCTCAGTTCAAACAACCACGCAATTTGTACCACACCAAAACACCCAATCAGAAAAAGAAAAGTCCAAAATGTCTCAAATCATGCCCCCAATCCCACGCATCTTCTTCACCTACATCGAGCCCCTCCTCCACCTCTTCGGCGCCCTCCAGCCCCTTCTCAGCCCTTCATCCATCACCGCGCCGCTGACCTCCAGCCCGCGCGAGCCCACGCCCACAGAAACCCTCTGGGCGCTGCAGAACGCCGTGCTGCTGTTCGGGTTTGCCCTGCTCACCTGGGTTATTATGCTGCACAGCAATGACAGGAAGGTTGTCAGGGGATACGTGCTGGTGAGCGCGCTGATGGACTTTCCGCTTTGGGGGGGCGCTGGCGGTGGCGTTAAAAAGGGAGGGGGTGTTGTGGGAGGTTGGGAAGTGGAGGGGGGAGATGAGGATGTTGGCTTTTGTGCCGATGGGTACGTTTTTGGTCAAGGTTGGGTATTTGGGGCGGTTGTTTAGGAGGGATCGTGTGGTGAGGAGGTAGGGTTGAGGTGTTGAAGGGGTGGGATAGTGAAATTCGAACATTTCAAATTTAGAAGCGGGAAGTTTGACGCAACAAGGGTTTTGATATCAATCAGATGAAAAGTACTATGATAACATTGAATGGTTCATTGAAGCGTAGAGGTCAACTGCTGGGTCTCCTTTTTATATCACGATAACACCAAAACGATAAACACTCACACGACAACACCAAGCAGACACATTTAACTGATTTGATTCTTTCTATCCTTCTACAGCCTACTGCTGCGAGACATCCACCTTACTCCACCAAAACTCAGACTCCTTCCTCGCCCAGGTATCATCATGCAACCTCGCCGGCACGCCCGCCGCACCCCCAACCAGCTCCTTGTTCTCCTCCCCAAACACCATCGCCTTCGGCGTCCCCTCCGCACTATACCGCTCCCACGAGGGCCTCTCCGGCGCAGAACCCCTCACCGCGTTCGGATCGCCCGTCGCGATGAAGCTCGTGATGTATGCGTTGTACGTCAGGCACAGCTCCTTCTGCGCCGCCGAGATGCCCGTCCGGTTCGGCTCGCACGTCTCGTAGTACATGTTCTCGCCGTGCCGCGCGCGGTCCAGCAGCGAGCTCTCGAGCCCCCACTGGTAGAGGTACACCGGCTCGCTGGTCGCCTTGCTCGCGAGCTCCGCGGTCTGCCGCACGGGCGCGACGTAGGCGTACTGTCCGTACGCGATTTCCAGCCGGCGGTACTGCGCGCCCGTACCCTCGAGCTGCTCCTTGTACGGGGAGTCCGCAACGGTGAGGGGGTCCGGGTAGAGCGCGTCGATGGTGGCGACGTCGTCGGCGGAGAGGAGGGGGAGGAGGTCGGCAAAGAAGGAGGTGAACTCGTCGGAGCGGGCGACCTTTTTGCTGATGTAGATGGAGCCCTCGTTGCGGTTGAAGCCGGTCATGATGGGGACCTTGCGCCACTTGTTCAGGCGCCAGGACTCCATGGGCGCGCGGGGGATGATGTCGCCGTCGACGACGGGCTGGAAGGCCCAGCGGAGGGAGGGGTTGTACTTGTCGAAGACGGCGATCTGGGCGGCCTGGACGGTCTCGGTGGGGGCGGCGCGGAGGAAGGCGAAGGTGTCGGCGGAGGAGAGGCCGGGCGGGCAGGCGCAGGCGGCGAGGAAGTCGGCGAACTGGGCCTCGTGGATCGGGGCGCTGTAGGGGCGGACGGCGCGGGAGGTTGACGCGCCGGATTGGAGGATGGCTTTGTGGAAGAGGGGGGCGGATTGGCCTTCGTCGTGCATGAGGATGTGGCCGATCTGGGGGGGAGGGGTGTTAGTTTCTGGGCGGGAGTTGGGGGAGAGACGAGGGGGCGGCTTACGGAGTGTGCTCCGGCGGAGATGCCGAAGAGGGTGACGTTGTTGGGGTCACCTCCAAAGGCGGCGATGTTGTCGCGCACCCATTCGAGGAGGAGGAGCTGGTCCTTGAGGCCGAGGTTGAGGGCGCCCTGCTCGTAGCTCATCGTCGAGGGGAGGAAACCGAGGGCGCCGATGCGGTAGTTGAAGGACACGGCGACCAGGTCCTGGCCGGAGTTGGCGAGAAACGAGGGCGTGTTGTGCATCATGGCGGTGCCGCGGTTGAAGGCGCCGCCGTGGATGTACACGCCGACGGGGAGCAGGTCCTTCTTGCCCGCGCCCTGCGGCCGGAAGACGTTGGCCGTGAGGCAGTCCTCGCTGTACTCGAACTTGGGGCCGCCGGGGAAGAGCTGCTTGCCCGGGGCGACGGCGCCGAACTTGGAGGCGTCGATCGTCGCCGTGGACGGTTCCACCTTCACCGGGGGCCGGAACCGGCGGTCGCCGGTCGGCGGCTGCGCGTACGGGATGCCGCGGAAGGCCTCGACCGGCCGCGGGATGGCCTCCGTCACGACGGTGCCGACCACCGTGCCCTGCGCGATGGTCACTGAGGGGCGGTCCTCAACCTTGGAGCCCATCTTGGGAATGTGTGTGTGTGTATGTCTTGGATGTGTGTCTTGGTTGGCAAGCAAGGGTGAGAGGTGAGTGGTGAACCGGGGGCTTGGTAAAGCTTGGGGTGGGTGTGGTTGATGATTAGTTCAGGTATCGGCGGATGGATGTACCGGATCGCCGTTGCAGCAGCTATCGCACGGCAGACAGGCCCTCCCAATTGAGTTGACTAGCATTGTTAAATGAGTAGGGAAAGCCGCGACGTTTGGTAGAGAGAAGCCATGTTTTCCCGCGGGGATCGGGCGGCCGAGCGATATCGGCTCAAGACATGCGCTTTCGGGCCCAGATCTGTCGTCCGAAGCACTCTTTGATCTTCAGGCTTATCATGTTTATCAGCGCCGGTCGGCAAGACCCCGACCTCCTCTCGACTCATGCGGCCCCCGGCCATGTTCCCCGCGATAGCCAGACCAGCCATTGGCAAACCCAGGACTGCGGATAAAGTAGCCCGTTATGGGGTTTCGTGGGCATGGGTCCACGTCCCTGATAAGATGCTTGTTTGGTTTACTCAACTGACAGAGTAGGACTGACAGTTCCCCGGGCTATCTGCACTATCTGGGAGAGGTCTCGTCTATCAACTGCACCCCGGAGACCGGGCCTCGTGAGCCTGCGGGGGGTCGAGATAATGGCCAATTGGCAACGGGCCATTAAAACATCATGTCTTCTCCCCTCCCCGTGAAGTCACGAAGGTTGAGCCGTCAACTTCAACGCCTCTTGTTGTTCCTGTTGCTAGACACATCGGTCCTTTGAGACAGACAACGACAGCAAAGATGGCGGACAACACGCACGTCGTCGACAAGGACATCAAGGCCGCCGAGGACGGCCTCGAGCCGACCAAGTCGCTGACCGCCGGCGAGGTCCAGCACCTCGACGCCTCCGCCGAGTTCCTCTACCAGAACAACATCACCGAGGAGTACCTCGCCGAGCTCGTCAATGACAAGGAGAAGAACCGCAAGCTCGTCCGCAAGATCGACCTCATCGTCCTGCCCCTGCTCGCCGGCACCTACGTGCTGCAGTACATCGACAAGCAGGCGCTCTCGTACGCCGCCGTCTTCGACCTCTTCACCAGCACCAGCGTCACGCAGACGCAGTACTCGTGGTTCGCGAGCATCTTCTACCTGGCGTACTTGGTTGCTGAGTACCCATGGGTCTACCTCGCGCAGAAGACGCAGATGGGCAAGGTCGTGGCCGGGTGCGTGCTCTCGTGGGGTTCCGTGTTGATGATCACAGCCGCATGCTCCAACTTCCCCGGCCTGGCGGCGTGCAGATTCTTCCTGGGTGTCTTTGAGGCCCCGATCACCACCTGCTTCATGATGATGGTTTCCATGTGGTAAGTGACTCCAATCTCACCCGAACCCGGAGTATAGTTAGCTAACACATAACTCCAGGTACGTCCGATCGGAGCAGCCCTTCCGCGCGGGCATCTTCTACTGCTGCAACGGCGTCGGCTCCATGCTGGGCGGCCTCCTCAGCTACGGCATCGGGCAAATCGACTCCTTCCCCGTGTGGAAGGCCGTCTTCCTCATCTGCGGCGGCATCACCGTCCTCTGGGGCATCCTGCTGCTCTTCTGCCTGCCCGACAGCATCCTCACCGCCAAGCGCTTTTCGCTCGAGGAGCGCGCCCTGCTCGTCGGCCGCGCGCGCCTCGCCCGCACCGGCGTGCTCAACAAGACGGTCCAGTGGTACCAGATCAAGGAGGCCGTGCTCGACCCGCAGGTCTGGCTGCTGACGCTCTTCGTGCTGCTCAACGAGGTCATCAACGGCGGCGTCGCCAACTTTGGCAAGCTCATCATCAAGGGCCTCGTCTCGGACCCGCTGCTCACGACCGCGCTCGGCATCCCGCAGGGCGCGTTCCAGGTCTTCTGGATCCTGTCCGGCGCGTACACAGCCACGAAGCTGAAGAACCAGCGCACCACGGTGATGGCGCTGTGGCTGATCCCGACCATCCTGGGGTGCGTCATGATCTGGAAGCTGGACAGGGCGCACTACAAGGTCGGCGTGCTGTTCGGGTACTACCTTGTCGGCTCGTTCGTCGCGTCGCTGGTGCTCGCGCTGCAGATGCCGGCGACGAATTTGGGTGGTTACACGAAGCGTATTACGGCCTCGGCCATCGTCTTCACGGCGTACTGCGTCGGAAACGTTATTGGACCCCATGCTTTCCTGGCCAAGGAGGCGCCGCTGTACCCGACGGGGTGCAAGGTTATTCTCGCGTGTTCGGTTGCGCAGATGTGCATCGCCATCTCGTTGAGGGTGATGTTGATGCGTAGGAACAAGCAGAGGGACGAGGCGGCTGCTGCGGCTGCGGTGACGCCTGACGCTCAGCATGAGGATGAGGGTGTTGATCTGACTGATATGGAGAACCCGAACTTCCGTTATGTGTTGTAGATGGCGGTGGTGATGGTAGAGGATGAGATCGGGTAGATGAGCTGTTTAGAGTTATGATCATGTTGTTTGAGGTTAGCGTCACAGCGATCATTATTACACGCATCACATGCGCTTCACTTTTGCGTGTTTGTAGTTAACCCTGGCTCAGTGGTTGATGTTAGGAGCAACCAGCTGCCTCCCACAGGAAGCCGTGGACTGGGTTCTGGAAAACATCAACATTCGATTGGCAGCAAGCGGGTGAACATTCGCCAGAACAGCCCTGCATCATTTCAAAGGCAAAAAAAGATGGCGAACCCAAGGTGAGAAACAGGCATCGTATTGAAGCAATTAGTGCCTAGGCATGTGAGACCCGTATCTGTACTATGGCGAACACCTTAACCGCCACGGCTTTTTCAAGGCCTCATACTTTCATCTGCGGCACGGAGACTATCGAGGTAGCCCCAGAATCCTCGGCCATGGGAGACCATCGAGGGTGGCACGAGAATCCTTCGCTAGCCGGGAACGAGGAATTGGGTACGAGGGAGGAATTTCGCAGTCGAGGGGCGGTAGATGAGGACGAGGACGAGAGTCACTGGACGGGAGAGGCTTGTTCTTGTTTGTCTCGAACGCGGAAAATCTCATTGTGTTGGGTAGTCGTGAACCATTCCTATGCCATTTTCCTCTCCTCAGAGAGCCGGACGCCTCGAATTGGCGATTTTTTTGTCCCATGCAACCAACTCTAGATCCATGTAGACCGACCGAACCGAACGACTAGACCTTTTGAGAGAAAAGAGTCAGTCACCGTGTCCGAGTCCGGCTTCGCTTTTTGGACGCCAATAAAATCCCTCGAGAGCCTTTTGCAAAGCCCCGTCCACAACGTACCATTTCCTTTCCTCCCCCGAGGACGAAGCCTCAGCATTTATCGCTGGGCGGACCAGACGGCCTTGACGAGGCCATCGCGCTGGGCAAGGCGGTTGAAAGCGTCATCACTCTCACCCATGGCACGGACGAAACCGCAGAGGGCGTAGACGTGGTTCTCGCCGGGGACAGCGCGGCCGTTCTCGTCAACCTTGGCGACGGAGATCTGGACGGAGGCGTGGTCCTTGGCCTTGATGATGCGGTTGGTGGCGCTGCACTTGCGCGGAACGTAGCTGGAGGAGAAAACATGTTAGCAAATCCGTCTCTGTGCCTGTTCATCCTCCATCGCATTGCGATCCCTGGCCTTCCTCCCAATTCTCAATCGTGAAGCAGAGGTCCGAGAGGGGAACCGAGAGAGATTCCACGCAAAAAAATGCCGCCTTCTTCTGCTCTCTTTTCCCCCTCGAGCTCCTTTCCTCCAGAACGAGAATTCGGCTACCGGCGCGCGGGTGCATCGTGACCTGACGTCTCGAGGACGGGTGGTTTGGTTTTCGCTTACAGATCGACGATCTCGCCCTTGTCGTTCTCCATTGCTGCGGTTGGCGTTCGGGGGGTTGTCTAGAGAAGTTGTTGGTGATTTTGCGTTACGCGGAAGTGGTCGTCGGGAAGAGACTGAGGCGTGGTGGGGGTGACTTCTTAATTTTGCCAAAAAACTGTGTGGGCGCCTCCTGCCAAAAGCCCGGTGGGTTGCGCCTGCCGAGCCGGCGGCAGGGCTGCAGTCACGTGTCGCTTGAGTCAGGTGATTGCGCGGCAATGACGCGGTTGTCGAGGGCGCTTGGGACGCTCGGGCCTCCACCCCGCTGCAGCGTTGGTACGTGCTCCGCTGAGGCTTTGGTCCCGTTTAGTGGTGTTAGTGGTGTCGCGCGTAGTGTGTTTTGAAGGACGGGAGGGCGTGAATGACAAGTCGATGCGCCATTGCCACCACCAATACATCTGAGACACTACGGGCGACTTCAATGTCTACACACGCCTTGCAGCCACTACGATAGTCTCTCGCAGACCCCCAACAAACATCCTGCTGCGGCTTGTGTTGAAACCATGCGCCCGGCGCATCACCCTGGGCCTGCCGAGATACACGATGGGGTCTCCGTTCGGGACCATTCCTCATGACCACTACAGCCTCTCCTCCTCGCCAGGACTTCCGTCTCTCGACCAGATCAAATCACAGAACCCTTCACGACCTCCGCTCCGAAGTGGCAGCGCGGCGATGCCCATTCCCGACAATGCAAGCCATAGCTTCAGTAGCATGTCCAGCTTCCTCCGCCACGAGCACTCCACGATCGATCTAACGACTCCGTCTAAACCTCCGACCGAGACCTCTGGCATGCCTCCGCCACCGCTACCCGAAGAGGAGGAGCCAGTTGTTGTGTGCCTCGCGACGGTATCGAAACCGAAGCGGAAAAGAGGTGTCAAGGTGTTGGAGAAGAAGCCAGGCCAACCGCCTCCAAAACCAGCCAAAGCTGGGAAGGCCGCCAAGGAGAAGGAGGAAACCGAGGCCGACCAACCGTGGAAGAAGTACTTGAAGGACGCTGCCGAGAAAGAAGAGAAGGAGGCCAAGGCTACAAAGGCCAAACCTGCGGCCAAAGCTAGAACGATGAGGAAGAAGAAGGAGGAAACTGTCAGTCGCCACTTTGCCAAACCGAAAGACGAGGACAAGGACCAGGACCGGGAGGCTGAGGCGCCTAAGCCGCCAAAGAGGACCAAGAAAGATGCGGATGAACCTTTGGATTTGGAGGCGGCTATGCGCCGTCACAAGGATTGGACACCGCCGCCTGCCGATACTGCTGCTGGTTCAAATCAACAGGTCGTGGATTTGCTTTCCTCAACCGATAAGACCTCAAGTCTTGTCGCCTCAAAGGAGACTTTCGATAATCTTTTCAAGAACTATGCGCACCCGGAGGAGGAGCCGGTACGGCCTTCCGTCGAGCCACCCGACAATGAGCGTCAGGTCTTAGGGAAGAGGAAGTTGATCGAGACTGTATCTATCAACGAAACGGCCAAGGCGGGCCCGTCCGAGAGAGCGGCCCCGAAGGCCAAGGCGCCCAGGAAGAAGCCTCGAACTATCACTGAGCTGGCGACAGCTGCCTATAAGGTCCCAGAAGCTACTGAGCAGCAGGAAACAGCTGCACTTGCACCCGAGAGCAATGGTGTCGAAGCAGAGGAGCCGAAGGGCAAGGGAAAGAAGAGGGCATCCAAGGCCAAGAAGCCGAAAAAGATGCCACCGCCGGAACCTGTTCTTCTTTCACCGACCGCAGCTTTGAGACAGGCCGCAAAACAGGACTACGTTTTTGGCACTTCGAGCCAGCTGGCTCGGGAACACTCGCCAACATTCCTACGAGACCTTCAATCAGCTCTCCAAGCTTCAAACTCGCGAGGAAAGGAGGACGACCCCTTCGTGACGCCCATCAACAGTGATGCGGTAGAACCAGAACCGCGACAGAAGCTATGGGGTGTCGGGGCAAGAGACGAAGATGGCAGAGTTTTGGACCTCGAAGTCATCAACTTGGCAGACACGCCACAGGGAAATGAAGGCACATCTGAAGGGCCCAATCCATTTGGATACGTGGCCGCGGACAAACAGGCGCCACCACCACCGAATCACTTTCCATCAGATGACTCGTTCCCTGATATTGACGATCTTCTCGGAAAAGCAATTGCCGGGGAGCTGCCTAGCATTCAAGAGGAGGCACCATCCTTTCAACCTACGGCAGCTCAAACCGCCCCGAAGGAACCAAGCCCTGCGCCCGAACATGAAGCCGCGTCCCCAGCCGAAAAGGACATCTCCGAGGATGACATTGACCTGCCGCCGCCGCGGTTGCCGTCAGTGACTGGCAGAGGAACACGACAGCCTGCTGCCAAAGCCAAACCTGTCCAAGAACCCAGCAAACCCAAATTCGACCTATACACTGACGTCCAGCTCGCACGTGAAATCTCCTCGTACGGGTTCAAGCCAGTCAAAAGACGCACGGCTATGCTTGCTCTATTGGACCAGTGCTGGGAAAGTAAGCAGCGACCAGCGCTTTCTTCCCTCCCCACGAACCATCCGATGATCTCGACGATATCTGAGTCACAGACAGCTGCCAATGTGCAAAGGGCTGCAGCTGCTGTGTCACCCAAACGCCCGCGGGGCCGTCCGAGAAAGAACAGTGACGTTGCGCCAGCATCCCAGGAGGTGTCACCTAAACGTGGGCCGGGACGGCCCAGGAAGGACCCCAGCATCGAAGTCATGTCGTCGCCCAAACGCCCGCGGGGTCGCCCGAGAAAGAGTAGCATCGAGATCCCGTCCAGTGAGCCGCCGCCGTCAGCTCAGCCTCCACCGCCATCTCCCAAACGGCGACCCGGACGGCCGAGGAAAACCGCTGAGCCGACACGAACCACCGGCGGCACGATAAGCAACAAGGGTAAATCCAAGGCAGCTGCAGATACCCCAGACGTAGCCTCGCCGGCGGCGTCACGCGCGAGGAAGCTTGCGTCGCAGAACATCATCGAGATTCCTGATTCGGCCTCTGAAGGGTCACTGTCGCCGTCGCCCTACTCATCTCCGGAACCAATGTTCTCGTCACCGCCGCCGGTGGATGCTTCCTTATCAATCACGGAAGATACGGAGATGTCGCTCGCTGCGTCGCCAAAGAGCCAGGAGTCTGCGGCTCTGTTTGAGTGCATCACCGAAGCCGTGACGACGGCACCCCCAACCACGGACCCGAAGAAGCCCACATTTCATGAGATGATGTTGATGTATGACCCTATCGTGCTGGAGGACCTTGCCACTTGGCTGAACACAGGTCAGCTGTCTAGAGTTGGATACGACGGAGAGGTCTCTGCGGTTGAAGTGAAGCAATGGTGTGAGTCCAAGAGCGTTTGCTGTCTTTGGCGCGAGAGCTTGCGAGGAGGCGAGAGGAAGAGATATTGATTTGGAGTTGAGGCAAGGATACCCTCTACATGTTTATGCATTCATCACGGCGTAACTTGGGTAGGCACAGGCATAGCTTTGGAGAGGTCTAGCATTCACTTAACATGCGCAATACCAAACTTTTATACGTTGATATATTGATCTCAGTGCCTCTCGACTCGAACTATTCATGATGATTTGAAAATAAGAAGTCCGGATGTCGATCGTTGCTCGCCGCACGGCATTCCTCAACCGGCGCCGGGCGCGGTCACAGGGCGCTCACCGAACCTCGGCAAAACATCAAACAACCCCGCTGCGATGATCTAGTCCGCAACACACCTCATGACTTTGAGCTAGCCGGACAGGCTGTTCCCCGGGGATCTTCTAATGTCTACATTCATATTTTCACGGTGCATTCGCGCGTGGTCAAATTCATCAATACTAGCAATCCGATTCACGAATTCGCGCTCAATTGCGACCGGAAGCTCGACCCGAAGGCCGACGAGTCCGAATACGCCGCCACTCACAACAGCCACATTTCATTTCGAAGGCGCGACGGGCGTAGCAATCATGTCACAAAAGCGGGCATCCTCTTCATCAAAGGAGAAGAAAGAAGTCCAGGCGCCGCGGCCGAGTTCAAGGTACGCCGCAACCCTCGCAAACCGACCCAACAGGCGCGCGCTAACCGGGCACCAGCATCCTCCTCCTCTCGCCGACGAACCAGGTCCTGCTGCTCCACCGGGTGAAGACGTCTACATCGTTCGCCTCCGCGCATGTCTTTCCCGGAGGGAACTTGGACGCGTTCCACGACGGGGAGGTGCCTGCGCCCGAGGCGAGGGGGAGGCACGAGGACGGGCCGGCGTATCGGCTTGGTGCGATTCGGGAGTGTTTTGAGGAGACGGGGATTCTGCTTGCGATGAAGAAGGGCGCGGCGGCGGGGGATGAGTCTGCGCTGGTGAACTTGTCGTCTGCGGATAGGGATGTTGCGAGGAAGCGGATTCATGGGAATGAGGTGAGGTTTGGGGAATGGGTTGAGAGTGTCGGGGGTGTTCCGGACGTTGGTATGTGGCTCTACTTGTCAACTCAACTCACCTCGATGAACCCCAGAAGAGCGCTGCGGTTCACAGCCTTCTGCGACCCTTTGACTGGCAAACGGAGGATGCAGCAGCACTGACAAGCAACAGATCGTTTAATGCCCTTCACGAGATGGGTTACCCCGACCAACGTCCCGAAACGCTTCACAACGCAAATGTACATCTACATGCTCCCGCACTCCGCCTCAACAGGCGCCGAGGCCGCGGAGCACGAGATCATCGTCCCGACGCCGGACGGGGGCGTGGAGCACACGGCCGCCAAGTTCGACGACGCCTCCGTATGGCTCTCCCGCGCCGACAAGGGCGAGATCATCCTCTTTCCGCCGCAGTATTACCTGCTCTTCCTCGTCGCGCAGTTCTGCAAGGGCTCTTCGAGTGGGGCCGGTGTCGAGCACTTCGCGGCGCAGCGGGAGCAGCTGAAGGAATTCCTGAAGCGCATCCCGACGGCCGAGTCGGAGGCAGCGAGGAAGCAGCCCACGTCGGAGATCCCCTGGGCGGACAAGGTCATGAGCCCGCATAACCTGTTCATCCGCGAGGAGGACAACCGCGTTGTGCTCGGGATCGATAAGCCGGGGCCGGAGCTCAAGGGTTCGGGGCGCGGGGGAGACTGGGAGAGGGTCGTTTTGGTTAAGTTCACGCGCGAGGGCCCGCGCAAGGTCGAGGTTCGGGGGCGGGAGGAGGTCTTGAGGGAGGAGAAGGAGGAGAAGAGGGCGAGAGAGGAGTCGGAGAAGTCGAAGATCTAAGCCGATGGGTTCGGGCACAACGGGTTCGGACAGCGTGCTAGCGGTTGTTGTTCCTGTCTTGCAGATATTAGAGATTCAACAGACGAAGATGAATGAATACATAGAGGTTTTCCTCAAGAGATGATGTCTCTCGAAAGTGCACCTTGCTGACAGCCTGGAGAAACCAACAACACTGTCAGCAAGCCCAGCCAGCCCTACGCATCGACACCGCCCCCAACACACGGCCGTCCCTCGCCTTTCCACGTTTCTCTGTTCTCCCCTTCTGAGTTAAAGACCTGGAAACCGAACGATCGGGAGGATGAGATGTGACGGCCGGTAAATAGGAACTAAATGTGCAAAAAGAGCGAACTGCTCCTGCACAGTACTATTCGAAAGCGACCTTGCAAGCAAACCTTCCTGGCTGCGAGTCAGGCGCTGCGTTCCCTCCCCTCACACCCACAACCAGCAGGACTGCACTTGCACTGCAAACGTAGTCTGAGCTTCGAGGAGCTTCAGAATCTGGGGTGTCCTCTCAACCCCGAAAACATGCGGCGGTGCCAGCCTATGCGGCTCTGCTCGTCCCAAGAGAGACTGGTGAACCGCGGGTACAGAGGCAAAAGGGCAGTGGAAGGGTTTCTAGGAAGGTTGCAGCAAACGAGAGATGGTGTGCTGGGCTTGCTGCTCGAAGACCGCTCCAACAAGAGCAGCCACGCAGCCCACGCAGCTAACCGACACATGCAGACATCTCCTCCGTGGCCGCGTCGGGGGCGACCCGGCGTTTGTGGTGTTGGTGATTTGATTCCACACCATCTCTCCACACCAATGGTAACTCACTGCTTCTTTCTCTCATCCCTCCCGGCCTTTCCTCCACTCTTTCATCGGTTCCCTCCACTCTACAATTTCATACCCTCCCCACCCTCCGTTCTGCCTGCCCTTCTCGGGACGAGGCCGGCGCGGCAGCCCGATGAACCATTGGCCCGAGATACGGTCGATTTATGATCTGATTCTGCTAATGGGCCACTGACGGGGGGTTTGGTTGGTTAGGAAGATCTCAGAGGCGCTGTTCAAAAGATTCCCTCCTGCAAGTTTGACGTTTTTTCTGATCATCCTCACGAAATCAATCATTTACACCCTTTCACCAACCCCCGCGTGGTAGAGACCTTTTGCATAAGAAGGTTTCTTTGTTGCTCCTTGACCGGTATGGCTTTAGGCTCTTGCAGACTCCTGCTGCCGTCATGAGGGGGCGCCACAGGCCTGAGCGAGAGCTTTGATGCCGGTGTTGACTCTCTTTATCCCTGATCCTCGTCCCGAAGATTTCCCCACGTCGACACAATTTGCAGCTCGTCCTGCATCATCACATACGTGGCATCGGACTTGAATGTTATCCCGACTCAAATATAGTCTCGTGGACAGTTTATCGGATCATAATGACGCCTCCTGCCGACGGGAGAGCGGGAGACGGTGTGTTTCCGGGCAAGGTTCAAGGTCGTTAGCTCCATCTCTGCCATCTGCTGCTATCTCAAAGCCAGTCTTTCGGCCCAAGAACCCCTCATCTGATGACAATTGATGACCAATCCAGCAGGTGCGTTCATCCCCGTGGGGGACAATCTCATCGAGCTCAGGTTGGGAGTCAATGGCTCTGGCGGTGAAGCCTCAGCCGTTCGTGTCATTCCCGTGACGGTGACGACGACGTGACGGACGGACAGACGGCCCCGAGCATGCCCGAATGGCACCAAGCAAGGTTTCTTTCTTCGCACAAGGAGAGAACTACCCAGGTCTTGAGAAGATGGGTCCGGGTACCTTGACCGGCTTGTCACTTTCTTCAGCAATGTGCAAAAGTGAGAAGTTCTCGAAACAATCACTTGCCGAAGCAGCTCGACGAAACCAATACCACATTAGCCAGGGTAGCTCTTCCATACCCCCAGAAGAGACGGACGCCGTAAACACTACCTTACTCTGTAGGGCTAATCGGTGACCACCTCCAGCCAAGGCTGCACGACTGGCGGCACACCTTCCTTGCTCGTAACAAAGCGGGGGTGATGTATCTACATATGAACGTGATTGGAGGGCTTGTAAGCCCAAGCTGCACTCTCTGCACCCGCATGTGGTTACTTCATGCAAGAGTATGTAGCTGGCGTCCTCGAAATAAACGGTTACAAGCCACCTAAAAAGAAGTGGACCTTGCCTTCGTAAGGTAGACAATGGACATACGAAAGCGAGGGCTGGAAAAGATTCCCGAAATAAGGGAGCCTGGTTATCAGTTCTAGTTCATATTTAGGGGTTTACGCGCCGTTGTCGTGCCGTTCCATGCCGTCCCATGCCCCCCTAAGGCCCATCCCGCATATCGTGGCCACCCCCCCGGCAAGTAGGGGGTGAGCGGATGATGGATCGCGGATGGTTATCGGATATCAGACAGTTCAGACGGAAGAAAATTGTGTCAACACACTCACATGCTCCAGGTGGCCATCAACTTGCAAGGGCTTAGACAAGGGGGCTTCTCGCAGAGCCTCAAAAATTGGGGCTTTGTCCTATGGGACGCCGAGACCGAGGAGATCCTCGTGGCAGATGATAGGTATGGATATCCGAATCATTCGGAGAGGGGTTTGGATGTCCAGGGTTGTGTCCCGGCCGCAGACAAGGGTGGCACTTTCAAGCGTTTGAATTGCTGTGAAGGGCAACCCTGTTGATGCTAGCGTATAACAGCTGACCCACGAAGGGGCGACTATCTTGTAGATTGAGTGAACCCGGGAGCAGTATCCGAGGAGGGGACAACAAGATGTTCGCTAATATGCATCGGCAAATGTTCTTTCGATATGAAAACTTATAAATACCCCTTGGGCTCTCGATGAGATGACAAGATTTTAAGTATCAACACCATCGAAGCTGGGCTTCTTGAAACAAATACTGCATAAAAGACAATCCTGAACTCTCTCGTTCAAAACTCACGTCCTGTCTTTCTTCTCTTGAAATACATCATGGCTGACAGGTAAGCCGTTTCATCAAGATGTATGATCACGGTCACTAACCACGATCTAGTACTTCGCCGAACCCGATGCTCGACATCTACATCAAGGACACCACTAGTGTTCCTGACAGGCTTCAGAATGGTGGCAAGAAGTGAAACCGCGTTCGCTGGTAGTCAACATGCGCACCTCTTCCGCTGTCCTGTAAGACGGATGGCGGTATTGCATGCGCCTAGTGGGGGCTTGAGATTTCGAGGAGGCAGTAAAGGCTTGTTTGATACCCCACTTTGGAGATGAAATATCTTTAAATACTAGTGTTGATTACCTTCGGGTCAATATATTGTTTTAGTTCTTCCTGTCCGATTGGCTGGGAAGCTGGGGCTGGACTCAGGACATACAGAGTAGCTGCTGGACTGCGTTTGGATGAGTTCCATTGCTCACCATATTACCTCGGATACGCTCCTTAAATTGTGGCGCTAGAAGCACCAAGACTCACAGTAACAATTCAACACAGAAGATCTCCCGTTGAAATCTTAAGCTATACTTTACTCTCCGCGTAACCAGAGTGAATGGTCTGAATCAACCTAAGGAGATTTCAGCTGACACTCCAGCTGTGGCGAGTACATGTACAATAGAAGCGAGCTTGAAAATCATTGGCAAGGCTTATGCGGAACGATCCTTCTTTGAGGCTCTGCAGGAAACAAGGCCTGTAATGTAGTATAAAATATGCACGTATCTGCCATCCTCAACCCCTGATCCTCGTCAGACATGTACGTCAAACTTGTACGCGATCATCTGCCCTATCAATCGCTTGGTTCATCTTGATACCGCTGTTGTTACGTGGCCTGCGGCATGTTGGTATTTACGAGGTGTCGTGGTCTAGGATGATTCGTATCATGCCATACTGACGTTCGTTCGGTCAACTAGTGACACCTGAACGCCTCGAAGGCGATACCCAAAGCAGTAATCGGAGGTACAGCGTCTTTATATGTAAGGTAACGACTCAACCCATAAGTATTGGCGTGTCAAGCTGAAGCTTTGACCTGAAGTTTGCTGCTTGTTTCCCCGCGTCGAGCTGCCAAGCTCGGGTCTGCTACCCGTGCCATGCTTGGCGATGCTACCTATCCATAATACCTCACATCTAGCAACAACACAACGCGAAGCCTATTGACTGCTGGAAACGCATCTCGGGGATTGATCGCGAGCTCCCGAATATAAACATTGCGCGAACAACTCTGGAGACGAAGATCAATACGCCACATTGCGGGACTCTCGATCACACACATTGATCAACACGCATTGCCGCAAATCATTGAAGAAATGACGAACTCCTTGCGAGCTTCAGCTACATGTACATCACCACACCACCCCGTCAGATCCTCTCGAGCATCACTCTACCTGTAATCTCACGCAGAACGCATGGTTGTACCCTGATCCACGACGCGAGACCAGCGAACTACCTCTATAATACGCACATGTGCTGCAAACTATTGTCTGCATCCCCCCCACAAGCGAGTCGCTTGCACACCGCATCGCTCGATGTGAGCAACCATGTCGCTACCTTCACTGCAAACTGCTCAGCGGTGCCACGAAGTTCTCATGCACTCTCATATGCAAGAGAGGCATGGATGTGGGGGTGATTGGGTCTTGGTGAGGGGCATATGTATGTTGCGCTGTTGGCTGCAAAGCCTGCATGTAAACTGACCAGGGACAAAGACCGGGGAGAAAGTCCTCATCGAGAGAGCGAGAGGGGTGGTTTCTACACACCTTCGTCTGGCAGAAGTCAAAACGAAACGGTTTAATCTCTGGCCCATCCTTTCTCGATGAAGAATCCCGGGAGGGGGGGCGTGTCGTAGAGCCTGAACTTTGAACGTTGTTGGATGAGCCCGCCGTGCGCGCGCGCGTCGTCGGCCCCGCTGGGAGACGTAAAACGGCACGGGGTGAATCGTCCGTCCGTCACGGCGACTGGACGAACCCCGACCGAGTCGCGAGGATGACCGCAGGCAGAGCCTCATGTTTGGGGTGGGATTTGCGTTCGGTTGGTCGGCTTCGTTGTTTTGGCCTTCGGGTTGTCGTAGATTGTGCCGGGTCTCATGAGGTTTGGCCCGCTTTGGGGGTGGTGGCCCCTCGGCTCGCCTCTGGGTCTGATAATGGATCTCCGGCGTGGTATTGGGTACGGATACGGGGTCGGGGTTTTGCTGTGAAAGTGGGAATGGTGTCAGTTGCGTTCCGATGGAGCAGGTGACCAGCGGAAAGCTGCGCGGGATGAAGTGAGGAACGTGGCAGGGTACGGGTACGATATCCGAGATGATGATCTTGTCTGTGAAATCTTACGAGTATAAAAACCCCTTGACCTCATCTTGAGATTGTGACGAGGTAACTGAAAGTTGAAGAAGCCCGTCGCCGATTAATCGCATGTCAAGCATTCTTCGCCCTCTACATCTACCGATTTTACTGTCCACCAATCTGTCTCAGACCTCGTGTCATCAGCTGTCACTATGAACAAGAACACTTACTTTGACGTCTTCGTAAATGGGTAAGCAAAGATTCCATGCAAAATATTGCTTCGGGGGCTGACGATGTTACAGCAGTGAACAGGGCATGCTTGATGTTTACCTCAACGACACGGGCAATGTCCAAGATCGCCTCTTGAACCCTCAACCACCCCCGCCTCCGCCTCCACAGCCTTCGCAATGAACGGGGGAAAGATTCATTCACTTGGAAGCAAGTTCTCTGAGGCTACACACACCTAGATAACGGATGAATCTCCAACGACACATGAAAGCAACAGAAACCATTTCGATACCCCTTGGAGTTGGCGTTGAGTGGTGGCGTTTTCCTTTTGGGCTGCTTTGTTTGGGAGCCAACTGAGATTCTCAGTCGAGCTGTGGGACAGATGATGGCGATGACATGTACACTTTCGTGGCTGATGCTTGGAGCTTTTCAATACATCCTACTTGAAAAACATTTTAGCACTTTTGAACCGAGCTTTTGAATAGGGACAGTGAATGAGATTCATTGTTAGCATGAAGAAGAATAGAGAAGAGTGTAAAAGGATGTGGTAAGTCATAAAGACCTGGTGCCATTCTTTGTGATATCTTCATTACTGAGCAAAGCCGACCAGCACCATTTCCTTGTGCGTATCCATGCCCTTGTTCACCGTCTGTCGCTTGTCGTCATCGTGAGGTCGTCCCGAAGAAAAGGCGTCTTGTTTAGTGCGAGAGAAAACCAGCACCACCATTCTTGATGCCCAACTCACACATCTTCATGGCAAGGGCATCCTTGAGCTCCGACTGAGCAGCCTTCTGGACCTCGGCGAACTCCCTAGCCTCCTCAGGGCTCATGAGCTCATCCTCCTTATCGTCCTTCTTATCATCCTCCTTACGCTTTCCCCAGTCGGCGCGCTCCTGACGACGGATCTTGCCCATCATCTTCTCGAGTTGCTCGTTGGTCCAGTCGGCGAAGAAGGTGTCAGGCTTCTTCTCAGGCTTCTCCCCAAGGAGGGCGTCGATGGCCTTTGCAGTATGAGTCTCCTCGTCGTAGGCGATGGGATGCTGGCGGTATCCCGAGAACTTGATGGCGAGGCGGCGCGCCTCGTAGAGGCGCATCATGACCTTGGCCGGGACGGTAGGCTTCATGTATCGCAGAGCGGTCTTGGTCCAGTTGGCCTTGCGGGCGGCGGCGATGAAGGTCCCGGCAGTGCCATCAGTAGCCGCCATGTGAGGCGCAAGCTTGGTGGCCTTCTCGAAGAGCTCGGCCATGGCGGCGTCGACGGCGCGGGTGTCGAGGTGGGGAGTGACGGCGCGCAGAGCGTTCTTGAAGGCAATGGTCTCATTCTCATCGTCGAGGTACTTCACCTCCTGGTTGGTGTGGTCGCGGTACATCTCGAAGCCTGCGCCGGAAGGAAGGATCTTCTTGAGCGTCTTGGACTTGGACTTGGTCTTCTTGGTCGCTGTCTTCTGGGTATTGTCGGCGGCGACGGCGGGGACGCCAGAGACGACGGGAGGGAGCTCTTGAGCCTGAGACATCGTGTAGGACTCTGCTGTCTGGTCAGATATTGTCGAAAGTGGCGAGTAAAGCAGAATGAGGCAAGTCGTGGATTTGTGGGAGAGAATGGGGGTTGAATAGTGGAAGAGTCAGATCGCGCGCGGATAGTATTCACTTTGCGATCGATAAGAGGCGTTGATCGCAAAGCTGAATAGAATAGGCTGGAAGAAAGGACGGACAAGAGTGATTCAGACGTTGACTTATGTGTTTGATGCGATGAGGCAAGATTGTAAGCTGGTTGTGTTGTGAAGTTGTGAAGCGACGAGTAGGTTGTCGAGGGTGAAGTCTGTTGGAGGTGGATGGACGCGATGGAGAGTGAGAAGATCTGAAAACTTTTCACTGCCGCTCGTATGTTATTTTAAATGTAGGAATGAACGGCATCAAAGGGTGGCAAGAGGTGAGATGGAGGTGACCCAGCATTAAGGGACTAGGTAGGTGAAGCGTCAGGTGAATGAATGAGCAACTCCCGACGGGTAGACAAGGACGACGGAGACGACAAGGACGCGTCAAAACAGAAACGCGTCGAGTCCTTCCCTTTTGAGAAGGAAGCACTTGCCTTCCCTTCTCACCTTCGACTTCACCTTCACCCTCTCAACCTGAGGCTGCCCCTCCTTACCCTTCTTTATCCAAACAGTGATGCCTGATTGTCACCAGAGCGGCCGGGTGGCCTGGGGGATGATACCCTCAGGTTATCTCTGAACAAGATATTGGACTCTTCCTGTTCGATTCCCCGTCGCTGCGCAAAAACCACCTTAACCACTGGTGTACGTCGGATGTGGTGAGAGCCTCCGTCTAATGTGCATCTTTGGATAGCGGTCTCTTGTGTTCCAAGGCCCTTGATGCTGCGGGCGCTGGGGACCCGGTTTCGGTGCTACGAGCCTGGAAGTTCTTTGAAAACTCCCTCTGATCATCAATTCAGAAATTTTCTTTTTTTCATTTTGTTCAATTGTTCTGACTTTTGACATGATCATTTTGGACGTGTGTAGCGAAATTTCTTCGCGCGATCAATAATTGAATTGACACATGCCAGAACGCGATAATGAAAATTAATAACTTCGAATTGAACATAAAACTGATTAACACGCCGACACATACGACGATTACGATCCTCCGCCGCAACCTCCTCCTCATCCCCCTCCTCCACAACCGCCTCCACTTATCATAACAACTGATCCTGCATATGCTCCGCAACCTACACATCCTGTTAGCGACAGCAACAGACATTCTTCGAAAAAACCTCGACGTACCGCCCATCTGGTTTGGAGTTCTCCCAGCCCATACTCCCTACAACTCAGTCAGTAAATCTCCAAGTCCATCCATGGCTGCGAAACTTACATCCGAGGTGGAACACCCACCCGGCCCGCCACACCCCCCAGCCGCGATGTCATTGCTGCCACACAACCCCTGGGCACATCCCGCCCAGCTCCCCGTCCCAGCATGCATGATCCCCGGGTCGGCTGCGACGTAGATGCCCGCGGTGAGGTGCGCCGGGTACATGTTCGGCCCGTAGCGGTGATACGTGCTGCCCCAGTGGTTGTAGTACTCCTCGGGCTTGGGCAGCTTGACGCCCTTCTTCGACGCGCGCTTCGCGGCCCGCTCGTACGCGCCGTCCATGCGGTGCTTGCAGATCTGCCGCTGCTGGTAGCGCAGGGCCTTGCGGCCGCCGTTCTCTTTCGAGAGGACGGCGTTGTGGGCGGAGATGTGGACTTCGGCGCCCGGGGCGGAGGGTTTTGCGGAGGCGTTGAAGTTGTCGATCGCTGGGTAGAGTTAGACTTTCAGTCCACGAAGACGAAGAAAGGGGGAGATGGGTGGGGGTTACTTTTCTGTTGTTTTGTGCGCCCAAAGATGCTCGAGTCGTTGATGGTGTGGTTGGTGCGGATAACTGTGAAGTGTCAACTTCAAAGCGGCATGCCAAAGAAAAAGGGGCTCTTGACATACTATCACACCACCCACAAACACACTCGGAGTACACTTCATTAAACTTGTCCAGATACGTCCTGCTACTCCACTCAAACGCCTCCGTAAGCCGCTCCTCGTCGATCTTGTCGTTGTGGTCGATGAACCTGGCCTCCTTGGTCCCCGTGGTCGCGGAGTTGAAAGTGCTGAACTTGTAATATGCCCGCGGGGCTAGCTGGTGCGTATGCCACGCGAGGTCGACGTCCAGCGTCGGGACGCAGAGGGAGTAGGGGTTCTCCGTCATGATGAGCATGAAGCGGCTGTATTTCTGGAGGAGGCGGTCCATGATGCCGCGCTGGTTGGGGCCGTGGAGCCAGTCGATCTGAAGAAGATGGTCAGTAAATAACACCATTGTGTTAACTCAGTCTGGGGGTCAACTCACGTTGTACATCTTCTCCACAAACACACCCTGCCGCACCGTGGCTCCAACAAGATCCAGCGCGAAGATGGAGTAATTATCCCAGTACCGCGACATCATCTTCTTGCTCTGCACTCTCTCCGTGCGCGAGAGGATCTTATTGTACGGCTTCTTGTCCAGCTCCTGGATCCTCCCGTATGCGTCGTTGTCCTCCAGCGTCACCTGAATAATATTACGAACGTTTTCCATCGTGGGTGGCTTCTGCAGCCCCGGCCGGACGAGCCTCCTCAGCTCCTCAATCATCCCGAAGCCGAGCAAGCGGTTGGGGAAGGTGGCCTCTCTGAAGGTCTGCCCCTGGGGCGCATGCCCGTCGGCCTGCGGGATGGGCATCCCGACCTTCGGCTCGAGGACGGCGCTGGGGACGGTATGGTTGTCGGCGAGGTAATGCTCTGCGTCGCTGAGCATCTTGGCCACGGAGAGGAAGCGCCGCGTGATGATGGTACCGCAGCCTGCCGTGCAAAGCTGGAAGAAGTCTCCGTCGCCAAAGCCCTTGCCGACGAGGCCTGGCTTTCTGGGTGCTATTAGCAGGTGATGAATGGAGTGAGTTGAGGACTTACGCTTCGCCTTTGTAGAGCTCCGGTAGGCCGCAGGTGGTCCATGGGGCTTCTATGGTCTCCTTGCAAACGGGGCATTCCATGTACTTCGCCAGGGGCTCTGCGACGTTATCCCATGCTCGCCCAGTGCTAGCCTCCCAGTTCGCTTTGGCGGCATCCGTGGCGATGTAGTTGAACTTGGCATCGATGATTTTGTTGACTTGAGCCCATGGCATGCCCGTTGTCCAGAACGTCTTCATCCCATAGCGCATCGTATCCTCGAGGAAAGCTCTCGGGTTGAGCATGTGCGCGTGCCAGATCATGAGAACATCTGCACCTGTGAGTCACGATATTGTTTAGGAGGAAAGCGATCCAACTCACCCAACGGGGGAAGAATATCCAGAGTCCATGGGAAATCATCCCCGCCATCCGGAAACTCGAGATACTTCTCCGACTTGATCTTCATGTCCTCCTCCTTCAGCCGCTCTCCGGCCAACGTCATCCACCAAGTCTCGTACCGATCAACCGCGCGCGCCAAGAACACCGCCCACCGCTTCTCGCGTAACTTCGAGAGCACATCCTTGACATAGTCCTCCGACTTCTTGCTCGACCCGGCCTCCTCGCTGTCCGGCTTCGGTCCGGCCCTCGTATCCCAGATCTCCCACAGCCCGTCGGTATACCCAACCTCCTCCTTCAGCGTCTGGATCGCAAACAGAAGTTTCAGATGAGCCAGGCACGAGTCGACGTCCGGATCGCGCTGCGTGCTCAGCCTTAGCGCCGAAAACGCAGCCGTCAAGTTCGCAACCTCGGCCTCGGTGGGCGGCGGCCGCGCGCCTCCCTTGGACCCGTTGATGGACTCAAACGACGGCGGCTGGTCCTCGAACGCAGGCGGTTCGGTCTGCGCGTCCTCGTATGTGGGAGGCGGAGTGGCGGCGCGCTCCGCCTTGGCCTTTTCGGCCTCTGCCTCTCCCTCCTTCTCCTTCTCCTTCTTCGATCTCTTGAAGAAGGAGGGCATCGCCGCTTTGCTTAACAGTGGGACCTCTCTAGTGGGGTGACGATGTATGGGGGAGATGAGGGTTGGAGAATGCGGGGTTGGATTGGGGCTGTAAGACGTCGAATGATTCTCACAGTCCGACCGTTGTGACGGACATCAGATGAACTTCACGGAGACACGCGATTGCTTTTAAGCATAAATCCCAGGGCTTCCAGAAGAACCGAGGGAGAAGAATGCCTTGCCCAGCATCTGAGACCTTTCTGACGTGTCCTGTAATAAGCGCCTCGTTCCTTGTCGTGGATTCATCCGTGGGACCGTCAGCAGATCAGCTGGTAAACATGTCTTGGGCGACTAGGCAGACTCGTGAATTACGGCACAGCAACACCACACCCCAGATATTCTCTCCTGGCGGGCGGAAAGCAGCTTAGCGCCCGCCACCACAAAGCTTCGAGGACCCGTCGAGATGGTTCCTTTCGGGCGAAGTCACCCATCCTTCACGAGGGCCATTGGCCAATCGGCGGGGTTGCGGAACGTAAACAATCGGGTAGCTCGTAAGCCTGTTGGAGTGGCATCTCGGACTCTTTTATCGCTCATACGCAAGGGTGCCGCTTCTCCGGATTATTGGGGTCAGGCGACTGCAGGGTTGGATCGTTTTGAGGCCCCTTGACTGCTTCTGGCCCCTGGGTCGGTGAGCTCTTAACATCGTGATTGGCAAACGTCATTCATTGTCTTACCGAGATATCGCCCAGCCAGTGTCACAATACGTGCAACATCATGAGCGTTATTGGTTTCAGAAACAGACGGCTTAGCCACTTTCACGTTGCAAGAGACAAATAGGCACCATCAAGTTGTGATTCAACCGTCTTATTTTTTATCCTATCCTTCCTCTTACAGCTTCCTTCATTCCATTCTCATCGTCTAGAAGACAAAGTTCTCAGCAACGCCCTTGACCAGGTTCTGCGCAAGTAGCTTGTGGATAGCAAGACCGGCGTGGTAGTTGTCGGCCCAGATGCAGTCGCTGGAGCCGTAGCAGGTCGCATCCTTGGCACCGTACTGCGCAAAGTTCTCGACAACAGTATCAAAAGAAGGCTTGGTGTCGAAAACAAGCCCCTTGACGCCGCTGTTAGCAGACTTGAAGGTAGCCAGGCGGGTGGTGAGCTCGGAGTTGTAGGAGCTGATGTCGTCGCGCAGGCGCTGCAAATCCGTCTCGCTCTGGCCGATCATGGCGGGGATCTGGTCGGAGAAGGGCGGGACGGAGAGCAGCACAAAGTTCTTCAGCCCGTCGTCGGCGAGCGTCTGCAGCAGCTCGAAGTAGCGGTCCATGATCTTGGCCACGGGCGCGGACTCCTTGTCCCAGAAGGGCTCGCCGACGTCGTTGATGCCGATCCACACGGCGACGAGCGCGTTGGCCTTGTCGGCCACCGCGCTGGAGACGTACTGCTTGTACTGGTCGACCTGGTCGTCGACGCAGTACTGCGCGTACGTGTCGACGATGTCCTTGTCGGTGGTGGCGCCCGTGACGGCGAAGTCGTAGGTGAGGATCTGGCTGGTGTTGAGGGTGCTGGTGAGGTGGCCGACCCAGTTGAGGCCGCTCGAGGTGGTCTGGCCGGGCAGCGCCGGGTTGCCGAGCGGGTTGCCGGCGGCGGGGAGGGTGCCGCCGGGCCAGAAGCCGACAGTGGAGTAGGAGTCGCCGCTGGATCTGGGGTCAGCTGTATGCCGGCATGCAGAGTGTTATGATCATGGTGGTGTCTTACAAGACGATCAGGCTCTTGGAGGAGCTGTTGGCCTGTCTCGGGGTGACGGCGGCGCCGCGGCTGACGTGCCAGGTAGGGCTGGCAAAGGACAGGGACAGGCCGGCTGCGAAAGAGAGAGCGGTTGCGAAAGACTTCATTTTGTCGAGAGGGGTCGCGTTGAAATGATATGTACCAGCAAATGAATATCAACAAGAAACGTAGAATTGAAGAAAGAACGTGAAGAGAAACGATAGTCAGACCAACGAGAGACTCGGACAATATCCAGAACCAGAGCCAGAAAGAGACGGTTCAAGTGGGATGGCGCCGGCGCGACATACATATTATATGAAGCCCGTCCATCCCCCCATCCCAAAACCTAGACAGGCCGAAAGGTCAAAAATCACACCAAGCAAACAGGGAGGAAAAAGGTCTTCGTCACGGCTCGTTTGCAGTACATTGAGTACCCCATCCACGGGCGCGCCGCTATTCGCCGTGATTGGTGGAAGAGTCGCCCGTGGCCCGGGCTTGGGCGGTGCAACCCCCAAAAGGGGCGAGATTGCAGGCGTTCCGCTGGGGCGTGCGGGGCCGCCGTCTCCCTTTTTTGCGCAGTCGATGTCGACAGATGAGCAGATCGCGGCGCGTGGAGAGCCGTTCACAGCGATGCTTCTGTCTGCTTGTGGCCCGAACGAGCCTGCTGGGTTCTCGAATAGGAAGTTTCCAATTTTGGAGGTTTTTGTCTTTTGGAGGCTCTTTGGGAGTTGACGACAGAGTTGATGGGCATCATCCGAACATGCCGACTCCAACACCAGATCTGAAGAGACCCGGCAAACCGGACAAGAGTCGAGTCAACTTGTGTTATGGTGGCCTGTTTGCAGAAACGTTCAGCACTTCAGAGCCTGTGTTTCAACGGTTGACTAGGTGCATTTACTGCGACTAGGTTGTGGGGGGCTTGTGCTGGTCTTGTCACATTGACTATCTTCATTCAGAACCTTCATGATGGACGGTGATAGTTATTCACACGACGATGTCTTTCTGTATATTGATGAAATCCGCTTCCAAATTTTTTCATATCTATGTACCAAGAATCAAATAAAATATCTACAGTTGAAGAACTATACGCCACCTCCCTGCAAACATTTTAGAAGGCGGGATCGGCGTTCTTGATCAACATCTCAAAGTACTCCTGGAACCAAGTACCAGCCTCCGGCGCAGGAGTAAACGAAGACCCCGAGCTGCACTTCTCATCGTAACGCGTCGCCGAAGAGTTGCTCGTGCCGTCACTCTCGCCGCCAGGCTTGACCCACACAATCGCATCCAGCGTGTCAATACCCGTCTTCACCGTCGGCCGCGCCCCGAAGCCCGCGTCCTTGACGTTGCACCAGTCGCCCCAGATCTGCTGGCCCGTGGGCTGCTTGCCGCTGCGGCCCTGGTCGACGAGGTAGTTGGCAGGGTACCCGGCTGTCTTGAGCATCGGCGTGAGCGCCGCGTGGAACTTGCTCTCGTCGTAGTTGTTGTTGGGTGTCGTGTACGAGGGCGCGGAGGTCAGGTTCCAGCCGTTGAAGTTGGAGACGTTGGTCACGAGGCCGCGGACCGCCTTGGGGGAGCCGGCCTTCTTGTACACGTCGGCGTAGAGGGTGGCGGTGGGCTGGAGGTTGGCTTCCCAGCCGAGCCAGCCGGCGTGGCCGGCGTCGACGTAGATGGCGACGTTGTCGAGGTTGAGCGTCTTGAAGGCGTAGTCGGTGGCGGCCTTATAGGTGTCCGCTGCCTGGGAGCACTTTTGCACGCCCATGTTGGTGATGAGGTTGGCCAGTCCGTCGGGTTCTGGTTGATGTAAGCATATGATCTGCTGAGACATTCATGAACAGAGACATTCATGAACAGAGACATACCGTAAACAAACACAATACGGGTGTCGGAGTACTCCTTAGCGAGCGCGGCGATAGGGTTAATGTACTCCGTCTTGTACTTGTCCAGACCCCCATCAGCGATGGCAAGCTCTCCAGCCGAAGCCTTGGCCGAGCAGTCACGGTCAGGGAAATTGTAAACAACGTAGGTGCCGGCGTAAGGAGGGTTCGCCCCGCCCTGGTTCAGCTTGCGGATCTCAGCAAGAGTGCTGTTCATCAAGCTGATCTTCTCGCGAGTATCGCTGTGCGGGTGTTAGTTAGCTTGTCCAGATGATCCATCCAGCACCACAAGAACTCACAGCCAGGCGAAGGAGGGAACCTCGGCAACCTTGGCCGCCTTCGTGGCGAGGTCGCCGGTCATCTTGGGGATGGCCAGGTTCTTGATCTCATCGGCGTAGTAAGGGTTGGGAAATAGCTGCCTATCGGCGAGCGGGTTGCCGTCGTAGGAAGCAACCTGGCGGGCCTTGACGGGTCCGGCGAGTGCGGCCGGCGTCAAAGCCGCGGTGAGGAGGAAGTGGGCGAGCATGCTGAAAGGTTCAAGACAAGATAAGGCTGGGTACCGAAGAAGAGAAAACGAGTGTCGTGCCTGCGATCAGTAATTGGCTTTAACGCGATGGAGATGTTCCATGCCATGTGTCTCAGAGCCGGACAACCTCTTCCTCTTATACAACACGTCCAATCCCGCCAAGCTGGAGAGAAGGCCCTGATTCCGAATAATCTCACCTCCGCCGCAGCCGTCAAACAAGGCCTCAAGGGTCGCCCCGGGGTAAAGACGCCGGTCCTTCATCTTAGACGGCATCCCCAAGGATGGCGGGACGATCTCTGCGGTTAACCGTCGCCCAGCGTTCTGAGGTTACTTTTTCGGCCGTGTGAGATACAATGCGGCCGGGGCTCTGCCGGCGGGGATGATGCTGGGAACACGGCCGAGTGGCATTGGCGCCGAGCCGTCCTGTGCCTGGAACGGTGCTGCTTTGGGGAAGTTCGGGGGTTTGGACAGCTGTTCTTGGCCATTCAACGTGGTACGGAGCCGCTGCCTCCGAGAAATCCACGTGAGCGCATGTTAACCCCAGGGATTCATCGGCAGTGCTGCCCGCCTTATTAGCTACCCCGGGCCCACCAAGTTCGGATGACAACATTCGACCAGAAGAAAATTGCGCAGCGTGAATGGCAATTTGGGGGCCGCCAGATTGATTAAGGGGAGAATTGCAGTCCAGGCACGCTGAGCTGTTTCGTATGGGTGCCCTTGTCCGCGGTGATGTAACTCTGAAAGTTGGGGAAAACCTTAGTTTCGATCCATGGACTAGAGTGAGGGGGAAACTCGAAAGAGCGCAATGTGTTTTGAGAATGATCTGAAAGTGGGGGACCGGAGGCCCATAGGAGAATCTCGAGTCAATAGCGACGCGAATTGTATTTCCGAGACGGATGGATGAAGTCTGATTTGCCAAGTAATTGCTAAAAGGTGCAGTCTGATGCGATGTCAGGGGGAGGTCTGCTGATGGTTTGGCTGAAGTCATGAGCCGCAGCATGCGATTGAAAGCGCTAATTACCAAATGGATGTCGGGGAAACGAATGCATCCCATCAGACTGCCGTCGTCCTATTTCTTTTTCAACATCATCGGATCGTCCATCCGTTCGGACGGGCACTAAGCCCACATTTTACCCTCCATGATCGACACGTTCACAGCTGTGCACGGGACGCTCGCGATGCCGTGCGGTTTTTGTGGAAACACGAACCCATGTTTTGGACATTAGGAATAAGAAACTTGTGCTAACACTGACGGCGATGTGGCCCTCGAATCCGGATACCAAGTCTTGGTCTTTCCTTGTGAACCAGACTCGAGGCGCTGGGCATGGAAACCCAAGAACCTTGGCAATGGAAATGTGCACCTAGCCCAAGCAGTACCAGAAATAGCCCCGCGTCTGAGTATGTAAGATGATCACCTCTGTAAGTTGACTCATATGAACATAGGCAGCCTAAGCAACAGCCTCTGGAAGACCAGAGTCCTCATGATGCATCATCTTGAAAAGCGGGTCCCAGACAGTCACTGGACTCATTGTCGACTTGCCGTACACCAAGGGAACCACGTTTTCGGCCGAGCATTCGAGGGCTTGTCCGTTGAGATTTTCATCGTCTAAGAACTTGTTGAATGCGGACACGACAGTCGAGAGCTGAGTGATGCTAGAAAATGCTATCAGCAAAGCACTTAAGGACGCATTGTGAGGTTACTGATTACCACTCAGGATGGACTGCGGCGATCATCCCAGCAGGCACCAAAGGCGTCCGAATGACGCCAGGCAAGACGACGTTGATCCGAACGTTGTCTTTCTGTCGTCATGTTAGATGTGTCAACGATTGCTGTGATCCACACCAGTCTCTGACATACAATCTTGAGCACTCGGGATGCCCCGCGCACGAAGCCGATCATGCCAGCTTTGGCGCCGCAATACTCCGGAGAAGCTTCGTGGGGGTTGACAGCCGCATTGCTCGATGTCGCAATGATGTTACCTCCAGGGGTCTCGTTCTTCCGCATGAAATGGATGGCCAACTGCGTGCCGTACACCAGCCCCCTTGAGGCTAATATCGGTACACACCATGTTGGGTTTTGGCGGCACTTTGTCCGACCCTCTGTGGTTGAGAATATAGATTGAGCCTCTGTCGGGAACGCCCGCGTTGGCTAGCAGTGCATCGATCCTGCCGTGCCGATTCCACACTTCCTGGAAAGTCTTCGCTTGTTCGTCGTAGCTGGAGACATCCGTCACGGAAGCTGGCATTGTCGCCGAGCTCCTGTAACAGTTTCTCGTTGGTGTTGATGTCGGCCATTGCGACCTGCCAACCCTGCTTCACTAGATCCCTGCTTAATGCCTCGCCTATCCCTGACTGCGAACAATTTCAGTTCCCTCGAAAAACTGGAGTGAGAAAAATTGCAGAATCTTCTTACCGATGCCCCAGTCACGATCGCAACCTTCCTGTCCGACCTCCTTAGTGGGGCAACGTCGGCTTTTCCTCTCAGACCGATCGTCGATGTCTTGGAAAGCTGGAACCTCCTTGGTGTCTTGCCATGATGGATGTATCGAAGCTGATGAGCTACAGGTGCCTGAGTTGGCAATGCCCTCGTTGCGAGCCTGACCACACGACCAACGGTGCAAGGCCGAAGAAGCATTGCATCAAGTCTGAGAGTATCCAAGTTACAGACTCAAATAAGCGAGCGGACAGGAGGCTGCATTTAAGACATTTCATTTCGAATAGCGGCGGTCAGATTTCCACATCACAACTTCCGACCGCCTTTCATGAATGACAACTCACAACCAAACATGCGCAGCGTTGAGGACTTGCCACGTCAACTGCCGCAACTGTTTGTTTCTATCTTGGGTTGCATGTTGGCGCAAGAATAGAAATTCTACAGCAGAGACAATAAAGGAGAAGGTCGGTTAAGCTGCTGAACGGGACCCTGTTGTTAGCAAACATCAACCAGCTGACAGTCATGCCCTGTTGCGCGTGATACGGTATTGATCAACGGGATCACTTCTCTCTGCATAACACTGACGCAATCATGTCCCACGTATAAAAACCAAAACCATTTTTGCGAATATTTACTTCATTCAGCACGACTCAACTGGCATCTCGGTAGCGCGAAGAACGGTAGTTGGCTGGATTTGGGCATGAAATGTCGTCTTTATGGGTTTCATGTTGACTAACATAAGCATTCTAGCCCGTTCAACAAATCCATCCCAGAGTTGAAGCGAATATGCGAGCGAGTTGCCCAGGCCGGATCGGCTTATCAATCAATGGAATCGTTCCCGATCTCGGGACGGACGCGGAGTAAACGGACCCACGCGGAGAAGCAACCGGACAGCCAGATCCCTGCCATCTCGCCCGACTCCACCTATCGGACTGCGTCAATTTGTTATCGCAACCTTCTTCGACAAATGGCTAGAATCGCGTCTGTCAAGCCGTCCTACCACGATAAGCGTACACCCGCCGGCCCGGTCTATTAACCCAGTCTCGTCAACTCCAACGTTGACCCGGCCCGGTCAGTTGGCGATACTCTTTAAGTCCTATCCCCCTCAACTCCAGCTTGGTAATAGACCGTTCGTGAACCCCGCAACAAACTTCTCCGCAAACAACTTTTTTTCTGCAACCCTAACGATGGGCGACCTTGCGCCCCAAAAGAGCCCGTTGGCCAACGACATCCTCCTCGTCTTCCTCTCATCACCGCGCAACGAGGAATGGATCAGCAGAGTCGAGTCAAACTACCCTGGCCTCCAGGTCCGCTGGGCCAACAACCACCTGCCGGACGGTCGCTTCCTGTTGCCGGATGAGCTTCCCGATGAGGTCTGGGACGGCGTCACGATGATTATCAGCTTCAACCCGCCGTCGCCCGAGAGACTCAAGAGCGTCCGCTTCGTGCAGTTGACCTCTGCGGGCGCTGACAAGTGGCGCGATCACCCGGTGTACAAGAACCCAGACATTCCGTTTTGCACGACCAATGGATGCCATCCGTGAGTATTGACCCGTGCCGTTGCTAAGGCTAAAGACAGTGCGAACTAACACATTGAAAATAGTCCTCAAATCGCAGAGTGGGTGATCGGCAGCTGGCTTGCCAGCCAGCACCACTTCCTGCGTTACGCAGAGAACCAAAAGCAAGGCTTCTGGGAGGGACCGATGGCCGTCGACTTTGAGGACTCAGTCGGCCTGCGCATGGGAATCCTCGGCTACGGAGCCATTGGCCGCCAGTGTGGAAAGATTGCGCAGGCCATGGGCATGGAGGTGTACGCCTTCACGCGCAGCGAAAAGACGACCCCGGAGTCTCGCAAAGATGACAGCTACGTCGTCCCCGGCACCGGAGATCCCGACGGCCTCGTCCCTTCAAAGTGGTTCCACGGCGCTTCCAAGGAGGCCGTCAACAACTTCCTTGCGCAAGACCTCGATCTCTTGGTCATTGGCATGCCGCTGACTTCAGAAACGACTGGTCTCCTTGGAAAGGAGCAATTCGAGATTTTGTCCAAGAAGAAGACTTTCGTTTCCAACATTGCTAGAGGGCCTCTCATCCAGACAGATGCTTTGATCGAGGCGCTTGAGACTGGCAAGATCAGGGCTGCCGCTTTGGACGTGACGGATCCCGAGCCGCTGCCGAAGGACCATCCCCTGTGGAAGGCACCGAATGTTTTTATTACCCCCCATGTGAGCTGGAGGACAAACGGATACTGGGAAAGAGTGCTGGGCGTCTTGGAAACCAATCTGGGAAGGATGCACGAGGGAAAGCCTTTGATAAATGTGGTGAACAAGCAGTTGCACTACTAAACTTGATAAGAATGATTACATGGTGCGAGGGCGACCTCCAAATCTACCATCACACAAAACTTCATTGCGTCTCACTGTATAATGAGACATTCGAAAGTAAAGTAACGAAGTCCTCATAACCTCTCTTAGCTGCTAACGATTGGGCGGTGTTACCAAAGTAATCAACGATAGTTGGATCCGCCCCCTCTTCCAAAAGAAGCAATGCAATGTTCTCGTCGCCAAACTCTGCAGCTTGATGAAGCGCAGTTCTGCCTTCGATATTGGTGATATTGGCGTCGGCGCCATATTCCAGAAGCAGCTGCATGACATCCTCATAACCATTCAGTGCAGCTTCGTGCAAAATGGTCTTGCCATAAACGTTACAGTGGTTGACCTCAGCGCCATACTCGAGAAGCAGATGGACGAGCTCAAGTCTTCTGAACGTCACAGCTGGCCATAAAGCAGTTCGGCCCTCGTATGTCTGTACGAGCTTAGCATCAGCACCGCTCTCGAGAAGAAGTTTCGCCATTTCAAAATGGCCCCGGCGAACTACTACGTCCAGTGCTGCCCCACCGCTGGCATTGATCTCGGCACCACTTCCGAGAAAGAGTTTCGCCATTTCGACCTGATTCTGTTCCACTGCTGCCTCCAGTGCTGCTCCATTGCTGGCATTCACCTGGGCGCCGTATTCGACAAGAAGTTTTGCCATTTCAAAATGGTGATGGCGCACAGCCACCTTTAGTGCAATCCCGTCCCTAGCATCAATCTCAGCGCCATGATCAAGAAGGAGTCTCGCCATTTCTAAATGATTCACTCTCGCTGCCGATTCTAGTGCTCTGTAGGGGCTAACATTGACTTTTGCACCGTGATCAAGAAGAAGGTTTGCCATCCTCATATCGCCTCGAAATGCTGCCATCTCGAGTGCATCTCCGTCGCATGCATTGGCATCGGCACCATGGTCTAGAAAACGCCGCGCGAGCTTCATGTTACGGGACTTTACCGCAACAATAAACGCTGTTGTGTCTCGTTTGATTTCGTTAATGTCTGTGGTTGGCTCGTCAAGTAGGACGGACACCACGGACGAGAGCCCGTAATGAGTTGCGAGCTGAAGAGGATTATATCCGCCTCCGTACGAAGAAGAAAGCCTCAAAGCGTAGGGGTGAGACCGTAGCATCGCGCTTACAGCTTCTGGCGGTATCTCCCTGTTTTCTCGGAAGTGGTCTGACCAGTATTCCGCCGCATAACACGCCCAAGGGAACTTGTTCTCCATTTGACGGACGAAGGGATATTCATACGCATCCATATGAAGATCTTCGGCTTCCAGTGCAGCTGATGTGTCAAACTTGTCCAATATGGTCAAGCAAATCCGTGTTGCCTGGGTGTTCATATGTTGTTCTTGCATGTGGTAATGAGCCACATGTTCCCGCTTCTTAATGCGGTTAGATTTGAGATACTCCTGGACTGAGAAGTGCGCGATCCGTACCCATGAAGTCTGTTCCCGGTTCGCATTACGGAACTCATAAAGTTCAATAAATCCGGGACAAACTTCAAGAACAGCATCCACATCGTGCAACTTTCTTTTCTCTTTGAAAACGGCCACAGGACGGTAGTGATTCAAAACAAGATCGCCTGAGACGATATGATCTGACATGGCATTCTTTGAGTCGGTATCGTTCGAATTTGACTCAGTGGAATCGAGATCAACTGCCATGCCGTATATGAGCTCTTCTATGGTCAAATTCCTTTTTGGCGCAGCATAGCAGCATGAAAATCTGCCGGGCATAATCTTGAAAAGCGCACGGTATTGCCAGAAGCATCCTCTCATAGGTATCATCCAATGTTCGAGGAAGCGAACTGAGCAGTTTATCAAGATGTTCTTCAGTGCGAGGGCAGACAGCAATCTCTCGGAGCTGGCAATCGACCCACCTGAAACTGAATCTTATTAGCACTGCTATTCCCTCAGAACTTTTATTACCTACACTCCATCTGCTTGGGTTGTCAAAGTGGCCTCGATCCGTCCATGAAACCGTTCCACTTGCGTAGCTGCGGTTTATCCCGAAGACTCGTCGTGATATATAGCGCGATGTCTTTATTGGAAGCCTCGTTTCTGGCCGCAACGGATTCGTCTCGTGATGGCGCAAGAGTCTGTCGGATATCGATTTCATCCCGGCTGGTGACAAGGAGATGAATTGCGGGCTCCATCCATCCGCGCATCGTGGCCAAAATATCAAGTACATCCTGGCGATGCTCATTTCGTGGACTTTCGTCAAGGGCGTCTATAACAATGTACGTATGCTCGAAGGATCGGGACAGCCGGCGCAGGCAGTCAAGAAGTGTTTGATTTCGAGGTGTCGAGTTGCGGCAGCCATCGTATAGGCGGGAGAGGGGTGAGGAAGCCGAGATATTGCCTTGTCCAGATAATTGCAGGATCAGAGCACGCAAAAGAGCGGACGCATCTTGTTTCCCAGTATCGTCGAAAGCGAAGAAGAAGAAAGCGACACCGATATCTTGGCTAGAATTTTGATGCTGGAGAATGTATTGGATGGCCGTGGAGCACAAGACCGATTTGCCACAGCCAGCAAAGCCGTAGAGCCACAGAAACGAGTTCTCTTATTTGATCCAAGCTTTGAAGGGCTGGCCATTAATGAGCCAAGCGCCCGTCCCAGGCTGCGACTTTTCATGAGCCATGTTGAAGTTCGTAGTGGCATCTGGTGCGTTGAGCCATTTGATGATTTCCTGGGCCACGTTATTTGCCCGGTGCAATTCAAGCAGATCTTTGGTGTCCTCGACTTGGTTTCGAATGTTGCTGATATCGTCACTCTGTAGTAGCTGCAACGAGAAAAATACCTGCTGGAAGATGCTGTCGACATCTTCCTCAAGCTTCTGTAGCGTGCTTTGTTGAAATGGGTATGTAGCCTGTCGCACTTTTGCTCTCAGAGCGCACCCCTGAGACCATTATCTTGGGAACGGTTAAACTTGTCGGTCACATTCTTCAGCTCCTCGATGCATTCTTTGCATTGAAGTATGCGGCCTTCGATACAAGCCAAGATGATGACGTCGTCGGAACGAAACCTTCGGGCATCAAGCTGCCTCCTCAGGTTGCCGAGCAGATCGTGAAGGCGCAACAGCCTATCGTGGATGCGAGCGATATCGGAACTCTGGTCCTTCAGAGTGCTGCGGTACTCGTAAAGACCTTTGACGACTTCAGTTCCAAGCGAAATGATGCCCACAACTCCCGAGGCAATCGAAAACGGATCCGACATGATTGGCGAACGCCGTTGCGGCCCAAATCAGAGCTGCAAATAGTCGCAACCGGAGCCTTGAGTGACTGGAAAAGAGGGATGTTTGTGACAACAAATGAAAATTAGGCACAGCCTGATTTATATTTAGCCCCATTCGTCCTACTATGGAGTTGACACATTGGGGAAGCAGCGCTACAATGCAGGTAAGCAGTGTAACTCGTGGGCTATCGGGAGCATCCAATCACGCACGTCGAGGTTCACTGGCGCATGATTGGCAGAATGACGAGTATCCATGGGCCGGGTGCATACACACATACAGCCAAAAAAATCTATCAGGCGGATGAGTAGAGGGAATTTTGCGTGGCATACTTGATGCGGGAGGCCAAAAGTTGAAGGGCGATGCAGACCGTGGATCAGGATTTCTTTTGGGCGGAACAACTCAAAGCAAGATTTTATGTTTGCCTTCTTGAATCCAGCTCTGATTGGAATTCTACGATGTGAGAATGAATACTCCCCAGGGTTCAAGTCCTACCAGCCTTCGAATGTGTCAACTCTGATTGGGATAGAATATACTGTAGACTCTCGTCTCTTTTGTAATTGATTCTCTGGCTACGGGTGAAATTTAGCTAGAAGCCTGGTCATAGAGAATATCATTTGCCTTCCTCTTGTCTAGCGTCTCTCTGCAAATGCTCAAAGATTTGTGTGTCTAATAGGTTGGATAAGAACGCCAGACGTTGTATTGGGGTGCGCATTGTAAAAGAATTGAGATCCTACGGCATTTCGACACTATCTAAAGCTTGTTTCCATTTCGGCGTGCATCAAAATACCAACCAAGCTTCTTACTTCTATTTCTCAAGTTCAATCGCCTCCGACTTATCATCAATATCCTTCTGTCCCATGTTTCCCTCCACCGCCGCGTCACCAAAGACAGCTGCAATCTGCTCCAGACTAAGTTGATTAGTCTCAGGCAGAAATAAGTAGTAGACTAGACCAGCCGAGACATTCGTGGCGATGAAGATGAAGTAGAACTTCCACTCTAGCGCCTCAAAGGCCAGGGGCGAGACCTGGCTCAACCAGATGGCAGTCACAGCCTGGGTGAAGATGGCAAACCCGACCCCAGTCCCTCGCAGATGCAGCGGGAAGATTTCCGAGACCAGCACCCAGTTCGTGCTGTTGAAGAAGACGGCATACAAGAAGGAGAAGATGAAGATGAAGGCTACACCGGCTGAACTCCCTGCCAAGTTTCGGTCGTCGGGGTAGTACTTTGATAGGGCCAACAGAATTGCGAGAGTGGCCGCGAGTGAAGCTGTTCCCGTACCTATTGGGCTTGTCAGTTACATCTTTGAGTCACTTTTGCCGCATGACGTACACATTGTCTTTCGACGAGACCAGGTATCAGACACCCAGATCAAATTGAAAATCTGCCCCAGAATGCCCATGGTACCATAACATCCAGCAATAAGAAGAACCGTTTGGCCTTTGAAGCCGAGGGCGGCGTACATCAAGCTCTGGTAGTTCTGGATGACCTGAGATCCCGATAGTTTCGTCATGTTCACGATGAGACATGCAAGAAGCATCCGCCTTGCGTACTGTCGAGTGAAAAGAATCTTCAAAGACGATTGGCGACGGAGGTCGGCTTCGAGGGCAAGCTGATCCCGGATCTCAACGTAGTGGCGCTGGACAAAGTCTTCGCCGCGGGCACCGTGGAGTCTTCGAAGGACCTTTACCGCATCCTCATGACGCTCCTGTTTGACCACTTGAATTTCTTGTCAGCAAGGGCTTCAGCCCACGGAAACAATACACTCACACCATCGAGGGCTGAACGGCATGGCAAACACTAATAGCCCAAGTCCGACTGCAGGCGGCGCCTGCATCGCCAGTGGAATTCTCCACTGCCCATTCCCGCTCGCGAATGACCCCGCGTATCCAATCCAGTTGGCGACGAAAAAACCACCGGCGTTCGTGAGGCCCTTCAGCCCGACCAAGAAGCCACGGTTCTCAGGCGGAGATATCTCGGCGAGGTAGATTGGCGTGACGGAGTACAGGACGCCCGTCGACCACCCGCTGAAGATGCGTCCCGCGATCATCATGCCCGGGTTTACGGCAGCCGCCTGCAAAGCCGCGCCGAGAATACTGACCACAGCGCCGATGAGGACAGTGTATCGACGGCTCCATTTGTCCATCAGCCAGCCGGACTGCAAGCCACCGATGCAGCCGCCGGCATAATATGAGGCTACGATGCCGCCAACGAGCGCGGGAGGGCCTTGATAGCCTCCGTACATGTACGTTTTGAAGGTGGACTGGCTGATTGTTGTTGCTATGATGCCGGTGTCAAGGCCGTAGAGTAAACTGTGGCGTGAGCTAGACGGAATTTCAGAAGGGCCCAGGAATCACTGACCCTCCCATACTAATACCGATGGAGGCGAGAAGAGCCTGCTTCGTATTGCCATGGTGGCCGCGGAGTGCCTTGGGACCTCCCATGTGTGCAGACGTGAGTTTTCAACTTTACACGGCCCGTGTTACTTCGGAAGAAGTTGGTGAATGACGATGTTGAGAACATTCGTATTCATTTGAGTCTGCCATGGCAGTCTAATACTGCTCTCCGCTGGTGCGACTTCCCCAGATTTTCGCTTGTAACTCCGCGTTCCCTCCGCAACCCGCGAATCCTTCCTCGGAATCTGCTTACCGATGTGACTCTAACGTAAGGATGGGAGAGGATTACCAGCATATCCGTCTTTGCCTTTTCCGTCGCCTATTTGGGAAAAGGATCGGTAGATTTGTTCCCATGTTTGAAATACTTTAACTTCACTGAGCAAGACAACCGCATGGCCTGCATTGCGAAAGGTGTTCCACTTCACCTCAGTCCCTGCGCCATCCTCTTTTCAAACATTCTTCCGCTGAAACGTGGGAAAGACATGGTTCTAAATGAACGACGGTCTGTTAGCTATGCAGTTCTATAAAAAATGATGGTCTATCTAGGATTTACCGATCATGCTGCCATCAAGATCACACAAACCAATGCAAACACCCTTTAATCCGTGTCTACCATACATGTGCCTAACCCCACCTCAAGGCCATTTCAATAACCGTACCTCTCTGGCTAAACGTAAGTAACATCCAAAACGAAAAGATCTTGCAGAACGGCTCCACCCTTTTGCGCTCTAGTCCGCACGAGCTCTCATGCAAGACTGCCTATCCCTGAATAGGAGGTTGATAATGTGTGGGTGGTTGTTGATCATGAGTTCGCTACCATCCTGGGTTAGGCGAGAAGCACTCTCCATGGCGATGTCGCGCGCAGTTTTCTGCGACCGGCTTTGGCTCATTGGATCGGCTTGATACTGAAGCAGAAGCGCGACTGCTCCGGCGTTCCCGGACAAAACAGCGTAGTCGAGAGGACTGCAGCTAGGGGCATCGCGTTTATTGACCAGAGATCTAGCTCCCTGCTTCAGGAGGAAATTGAGAGCATTGATTTGCTGCTGAAAAGTCGATGTTCTGCGGATGCATAGAAGCTTCGTCAAGACGGTGTCTCCGGTTGATTTGCCGATTGATTCGAGCTTATGTCCCTCCTCTTGCATCGCAATAGCGAGACCAAGAAGGCACTTGTTGCGCTTATCGCTCGGGGCTTTCAGACACTCCAGAATAGGCGACTTGAAGAGCGAAGAGTGTTGCTTGAACTTTGAGGCGCTGTTCTTGAGGATATCAAGAACATCTTTGACCTTTTCGTTCTTGCATCCCTTCTTCAATTGTTTCTCAAGATTCTCACGAGAACCTTGTGACCAGATTTTGAACTCAAGCGCGAAATCGGCTTCGGGCTTCTCGTCCGATGACAAGCTTGCCCAAGAAAGGTCTGCCGGTTGGGAGATAGGGCCACGTTGGGTTGGTCTTGGAGACACGATTGGCGGAGGGGGTGGGATGCAAGGCCCTGGGATGTATGGATTTGCCGGCAGCTCATAGACCCGGGGCATCGGAAGTGGCGGCGGCGTTAGATCGAAGTTAAATGGAGGTTCTGGACTCAGTTCCTGAAGTTGAGAGTGCCAATGAGCTGGCTGCCGCTCCGCAGCAGAAAGCTCTACAGGACCAAGCAGCACAGCTGGAACTTCAGAGGCTTCGAGCTCGGGGTAGAACAGCCGGCTACCGATCTCCCGGCCAGCCGTGTGCGGATGCACAGACGACGGCCGGTACTGTACGATGTATCTGCCCCCTCTGTGAGCTCTGCTATGTCGTTAAATGGCCCAGATCCGTCGTCACTCGTTGGTGTTAGACCAACGTCCGAGTTTCCATTGTGCGACCAGCCGGTTGAAATAGTCGACAGTAAGTAGGAAGTGGTGCTTCTGGAGCTCCCAAATAATGCTAGAGAGTCCGAATCGTCGTCTGAGCTGTAGACATGTCGGTGGTCACTTGGTTGAGAGTCTGGTAGGTTCCTGGAAGATCTCGCCCACCATTGTAATGAACTCTTCTCGGACGATGGGGAGAATGGCCTTCGTCAGGTCTAAGTCGATGATAACTGAGATTGTCGGCAAAGTCTTGATCGTTCCGGTTAATCGAACTGGTCGACGGTCATTCTGAATAGGATAATTGAGTGGGCTGTGCGGATGATGTGGGCCTTCGGGTTGGTTTCTATCAGGACGGGCCGGGCCTCCGCCCCCGCGGCCAAAGAACCATTCAGATAACCAGTTGGAGGTCATCAATCAATTTCGTAAGAAAAGAAATGACATTTGATTTCTTTAGAAGACTATCTATTTGCCAATGAGTTGTGGTTTTGGCGGATTTCGAGTGACTGGTAGCTTCCTCGACCACTTAGAGGAAAACATGTCCATTATGTGTGCTCCACATCTACAACTGTTGGACGGCGGAGCAGCGGAATTACACTTACTGGGAGGCCTTCCACTATTTCTCGGTGAAAATGCTGTGAAACCACAGTTAGCTACAGAGTCTGCCTTCACCTGGCTTTGGGGGCCGCCAGTTGAGAGAAAGATGGTGGAGAGGAATGGCACACCTTGGATCCTGCAGCCTTATCCGCTGGTGAGTTTTGCTCACTTAAAAGGGTCACCCGACTGGCTGCCACTCTCCATGACCAATAGAATTTATGGTACCAAGCTATCCTAGAACAAGGCTTAGCACGATTAAATCTACTTTTTTGGTCCTAGCTATTAAGGCTTCCGGTTGCCTCTCTCGAGCTTGCAGAGTTTTCCGCAATTTTGCACTTTCTGTGTAGCTTGAAGATTTTTCTGCAAGTTTTCTTGCGCCGAACTTGATCAAATGATGCAGAGGCACAATTTTCGCGCGGTGTCTTCACTGAATGCTTCGCGTCATCGGACAGCGCCCCAGCAGGACCGACGTGGCAGAAGCCACCGCTAGATGCCCCAACTTCCTAAGCCACATCGTCGGGTTGGAGAGTCCACGAGCACCGTATTCTTCACCGCCGTCTCAAACTTCAAGTACCAAATAGAAAAAAGAAGTAGCAGAAGAAGCGCGATGCGAAAATTATGGTATGACGAGCTTCTTGTCAGCTCGTTGCCTGCGGGGGGCTACCATCTCAGCGAGCACTTATCGATGCGCAGCTTGGCGTACTCGGCAGAGTATAAGCCACCTAGTAAGTATACGGAGGAAGTTCTCTTATTTTCCACGCAGTTCCAAATTGCGCATCTTCCGGAGCAGCACCGGCTGGAAACGAGTACCTGCAAGTCTGTTCCGGTCGGAGATCGGGTCCTGTCCCGTTCCAGAGTGGATATTCCGGGAAAGTGGGCCTCGGCCTGATCCTAAGCAACACCGGGCATTGAACAAGTGTGAAGCTCGGGGACGTGGACCCTGATGATATTTCAATCGCGACCTCTTTGATCTAAGACATAAAATTCGCCCATTTCGTAGAAGTCTGCTGACCGCAAACAAAATTTTTATTGCAGGACATTAATAGGCGCTAGGCCCTCTCCGGTCCTCCAACCTTTTTTCCCTTCAAAGAATTCCGCTAATTTCAGGCGCCTCTCATGTCAGCTACTTGAGACGGGTCTAGCCAGAACTTGAAAGCAATCAGCATCAAAACAGTCTCGGCCCGGTCACCTAACCACCTCTGCATCGCATCTCAGTTAACCGCGAACTTCGCACTCGGCCTGTTGATGCACTTTCGCTGATTAAAGCGTTGACTCTTTCATGATCGACGGGGTCTTTGAGCTAAAGCTTCAATCTAGGCCACGACTCCCCAGTCATCGCTATGCGTTCAACGCGCATCATTGCATGGCTCCTACCGTTCTTCGGGGTCGTAGCTACCCAGGCATCGTCGATAGAAACCGTCCCAACATGTGCTGTATGAGAGCCTGCGCGACTCTACCCTTCGACCTTCGACCTGTAACTGACTGAACGATAGCAACCATGCATCGCCGAAGGTTTGAACAGGACAGCCTGTCCTACGTCGAATCAGACGTGTCTGTGCCAAGATTCAAACTACATCGATTTTGTGGAAGATTGCGTTCTCGATCACTGCTTGCCAGTCAACGCCCTAGGTAAGGAAATCTCCTCCTCAGCTAGAAGCCATTAATAAGACCCGATAGCCACGCAGAACTACACATGGTACGAGTGTGGGTTTCCACTGGAAAATGATTTCACCTCGACAGCAGTTCCTCGGCTGGTCATGTTTTTCGTGCTGCCTAGTCTGTCAATAATCACCCGGATGGTCGTCAAGTTTTCACGTGTATCCGCATGGGGTGCCGACGATTTGATGATCCTGATAACCTTTGTGAGTAGGCCCGATTAGAAGTCTTACCTTATCTGACTCTCGGACGCAGGGTTTTCTAATCGCGTTCGTGCCGTTGAACGCAAATGGTAAGTAGACATAACCTCGGAACACTGCTTTGGTGTTCTCAATAGCTAACATTTACTTCTAGCGGGAAGAAGCGGTGCCGGTCAAGACATGTGGACTTTGACTGTTGATCAAATCACGGAGTATTTCAAAGTCAGTGGCTGATTTCTTACACGTGAAGCAATATCTAACACGAGATAGAACTTTTATGTCATACAAGCACTATATTACAGCACCATAGCTTTCCTAAAGGCGTCCGTTCTCTTCATGTACCTACGAATCTTCCCTGGCAAGCGGTTTCGGACAGTCCTTTGGGGCACACAAGCGTTCAACCTGGCAATCGGTGTCACATTTGTTCTTCTCGGAATATTCCAATGTCGACCCATCCACCTGGCTTGGACGGCTTGGAGAGGCGACTCCGAAAGCCGGGGCACATGCATGGACGTCGTCATCACTGCCATGGTCTACTCGGCGATCCAAGTTGGACTGGACATTTGGATGCTCATACTACCTCTCACGCAGATTCTGGGTTTGAACATGAAGTGGAGCAAGAAATTTGGGCTCATGTTTATGTTCAGCTTGGGGCTTTTGTAAGTGGCTCGAGTGAAGTCTCCAAAGTTAACTGGTCTTGGCTAACTGCTATCCTCCCACCGTAGCCTCACAGCAGCTAGCACCATCAGGCTGAAACTTCTTGTCGACTACCATCAGGGAACACACAATTTCACAGGTAATTAATTTGAGCAAGCATCTCGTCATTCCCCTTGCTAAATTGAATAACAGTGGATTCCCTACAAATTGGTACATGGTCGGACATTGAGCTTTGCGTGGGTGTTTTCACGGCATGCATACCGACCACCCGACAGTTCTTCCGCGTCTTTGTGTTCGGGAGGCCGGATGGATCAGCTAGCTTGCATTCAGAGCACATCCATGGCAGAAGTCTCGAGGGCAGACCAAAGCGGTGTACAAGGCAGGCTGCAGAGGCGGTGTACGAGCCTAGTCCGCATACACCCTGACTTGTGCTTATATATTAAATGATTCCTGGCGGCACCATTTAAGTCTAACTTGTTATGGAAGACGATTTTGCTTTTGTCCTTGTAAGATGTGTCTGATGGACGAACGCCCACCCCCTAAGCACCCTCCTCAACTTCCAGCTCAACTTCCAGCAAAAGCCGAGGAAACGTTTCGAACGGGGGCTAATTTGGCGAGGTTTATTCACAGTCTTGATATTATCAGTCACATGGTCCGTGGGTGTCAGCAACTTGCAGCCGGTGGGATGAAATATGCCTTCAACAATGGGTTATGGCCATGACGATAGGTGTGGCACCGGGACTGCCTTGTTTCAAGAGAACGGAGTATCCAATAAGGGTCGACATTGTCTTAGGTTCTCTCGACCATCCACCCATGGAGTGCACAAGGTAATATCGGCCCATCAAAAACGCCAGCTTCGTTGACTTGCCCTGGGCCCGACGCGACCTAAGTCCGGACCCCGTCGAAGAAAGATGTATGACACCAGGAATATTGCAAATGACCGTCAGACACACAACTATAAAAGCCTCCCGTCGGAATTGTATCACAAGAGGTCCAGTCTCATCATCATAATCACACTTCCAACATTCCTCTGAACTTTCGAAGAAATGAAGGTCTTCCTAACGGGCGCCAACGGCTTTTTGGGAGCTCACTGCCTGTCAGTATTTTTAGATGGCGGGTAAGGTTTAGTCACTTCCCTTGATATGAAAGCCAAAGATGGAATACTGATACATCTTTCGCGTAGTCACAATGTCGTTGTCGCGGTCAGATCGGGCTCGAAGGACCGCAATATTCTCGCTCTTCATCCCGACTCTGGACTTACGCTGTCATTCTAGACATGACAGTGGATGGAGCTTTCGACAAGGCTACTCAAGCAGAGCCAACACTGGAGGCTGTCATCCACACCGCAAGCCCTTTCCACTTCCAGTCTAAGGATGCCGAAACCGAGATGCTCAATCCGGCCATAAGAGGCACCACATCTCTTCTTAGCGCCGTCGCTGTCTATGCACCAAACGTGAAGAAGGTTGTGATTACCTCGTCCGTCGCCGCAGCGGTCAACATCAAGGCTCCCCCTCCGATCCTAACTTCTGAGATGTGGAACCCGATCACTCGAGAAGAAGCCTCGTCAAACCCATTCTTTGCATATCTTGCCAGCAAGACATTCGCAGATAGGCAGCCTGGGATTTTGTTAACAAGAAGCCCCACTTCGCCCTGTCGACGATTTTGCCGCCTCTCATCCTCGGACCGGTTGTGCACCACCTTGATAACCTTGGTTCAATCAACACTTCCAACCCGGCATTTGTCGATATCATCGAGGGCAAATGGGAGGATTCGATTTCTGCCACGGGGTCTCCTCAGTGGGTCGATGTGCGCGATGCTGCGTTCGCTCATGTCCAGGCACTGATCATGCCCGAAGCTGTTGGCAAGCGGTTTCTCCTCTACGCGGGTGACATCAGCAACGCTGCGATTGCTAGCATTGCTAAAGATAATTTCCCGGAGCTGGCTGATAAGATGCCTGAGAACATCGAGAGCGACGTGGCCGCCGCCGACGCTAGTGTTGATGCCGGGTTGTCGAAGGACATTTTGGGTGTGAAGTACCGCTCTCTGAACGACAGTGTTTTCGACTCGATCAGGTCTTTGTTGGGCCGCTGAAGGCCGTTGATGTACATAGAACCTATCTATTTGGCGTTGTTGGATTAAATTATGACTCTTCAGTTAATAGGCTCTCTCCAGCATATGGTCATTCACGCCGGTGGCCGTAGTTTGTTACCTTTCTTGCAACCGATCACTTATCTTTCATCTTCGTCGTCCGGGAAACATGAGCAATTCTGAATAGTTTCATCTACCCTGCAAGCTCGTGATGTTCCTCTAGCGCGACCGCGATCCTTTGACAGGGCTGTGGTGGAGATTTTCTGAGCACGTCATGATACCGGATATCGCGACACGTTAAAAGCGCCGCTATCGGGATAGGGAACTCGAGACTCTGTAAAAACAAATCGACATTCTTATCTGTTCTCAATGACCAGCGCGCATTTTAGGATCGTACACTCGATTCATCAAGTCCATCAAAAAAGCTCAAAGGGTAGACCAGCCATCCGAACATCATGAGTAATCCTAAACAACTCCCTCATGAGGAGACCTCACAGACGACACCTGACGCTGAAACCGCCATCATCGGGGAACAAAGCCACACGAAGCGGACATGGTATAGAACGGTATTCTTCCAGGCCACAGTCATTGGACTCTGTGCCTTCTTTGCGCCTGGGCTGTATAATGCCATGCAGTCTACTGGAGCTGGCGGGCAACAGACTCCATACCTTGTAATGTCCGTATCTAAGGCACTATGCTGTATGAAGTTATAATATGACTTAATCATAGGTCGGCCAACGCTGTTCTGGGGGTTATGATGGTTGTCTTTTGCTCAATGGGAAGCGTAATGGCTAACAAATATGGACTGAAAAATGCTTTAATTTTCGGCACAACAGGATAGTGAGTGAAAGGTAAACTCCATGTTTGGAAATATTACTGACGAAAGCCAGTGCAATTTACTCAGCGTCTTTGTACACTAACAACAGATACGGCACTGAATGGTTTGTATATCTGGGCTCTGCAGCCTGTGGCATCACAGCAGGTATCTTCTTCCCTGCCGACCTTCTCTTCACAATTTGCCGCCTGTGGACGCACATTTTGTATTGTCTTGTGAATCTGACGAAGAAATAAGGTATCTTCTGGGCAGCTGAAGGCGCAATCATGATAAGCTGTGAGTTGCGATCACAAAGAAGCGCTTCAATCTGTGTCTTGACTGACTCATCTTCCGTCAGACCCCGAAGATCAGAAGCGTGGAAGATATCTTGCGGATTGGCTTGCCTACCGTAATGTGAGTTTACCAAGGATTTCAACTCAATGGCGAACCTCGTTGCTGACGAATGCTAGGGCGGTTCAATCGTCGGTGGTGCCATCAACCTCGCTTTCAGTATGCACTGCGCCAACACATTGAAACCTGATACTGACTGGATTCAGATTCCACTGGGAAAACCACGGGAAAGTTAGATTGGAGAACATATGTTGTTTTCGTGGCCTTGCGTGAGTCGGCCGGTTCATTATGCATACGTCTTGGAGGATCCTCTGACTTGAACTGTTCTAACAGAATGCCTTGGCCCCTTCGTTGCCATGCTGCTTTCACCCCCTGAGAAGGTCCAGCGTCAAGATGGCAGAAAAGTCCCTAAGGCCGAGCAAATTCCGACGACTGCTGAGCTGAAGGCCGTTGCTAAGATTCTGGTCCGGAAAGACTTTCTTCTTGTGTAGGCAACCAATCCCTCACTTGATATCTCACCTAAAACGGAAGCACTGACTAAATATTAGCTTCCCTTTCTTCTTTTACGCCACATTTCTACTATCATACGCAGGATTGTATCTCTCGCTCTACTTCTCAGTTAGATCAAGAGCTCTTGTATTACAGTCAGCTATCTGATAGTAGGGTCTGCTAACAGAAGCTAGGGATTAACACGTAATAATAGTACACTAGGGTTATAGTCTAGGTTATAGGTTATAGGCTTTATTATAGACTAGTCTTTAGAAGCTAAAGTAATTAATTTTAGACTCTAGAAGTTATTTATAGTAAAGGTTAGCTAAACATATTCTAAGGATAAATATAAAGTTAATTACCAAAAAGTTATAGAAATCTAACTATAAATTAAACTTAAAGTTATACTATATATAAGTTCTAAATATTATTTTTATTTAGTTATTGTTTCTAACTCTAATAAGATCTATTTTTATTAAGCATAAGTTAGTTCCTATATTCTTAGTATATAGATCTAATTCTTTATTTTATTATTATATAATTTATATTATAGTTTTTCTATTTTTAAATAAATCTCTATTATTTATATAATCTTATAATATAAATATTTCTTATTTTAGCTACTTAATACTTAAATAAGTTATTAGTTTTAGATTAGAGATCTATTAATTATATTTTTGAATTTATTTAGAATATTAATATTATGTTAAGTTATATTTAAAAATAAAATTAATGTAAATTAATATTTTGTTCTATTTGCAAAGATATCTTTTATTATTTTGGTTTTAATAATATTATACTTTATATTTAGTATTTTTATATAAAATATATATATTATACAGCTAGAAGTATAGAGATTTATTAAGGTTATAAAAACCTAAAATATATTTATAATAAATTAGTAGTAGTAATAAGTTATAAGGTTTTTAAGCTTAAAGTGAAATATATTTTACTAATTAAGTTTTTAATAAAAAGGTTAAATAATTAGTATTAAAAGAAAAGATTAAGCTAGTGATATTTTATTTAATCTTTATTAAAGGTTAGCCTAAGTTTAAACTAAAATAGCTAAAATAGCTAATTATTTATTATAGATTTATATAATCTGATAGAAAGTAAAAAAGTAATATATTAAGATATTTACTTAAAATGTATAGAAGTTAGAGGATAATAATATAGTTTCTACTTTAGATATTTATAAGAATAGTATAATAGGAGATTTTTAGTTTTTAGTATTAAAAATAATCCTAATTAGTAGAGTTTTAGAATAAGTAAAAAGTTTATAGAATTTAGTTTTCTTATTCATAATAACTTATTAGTAATTTTAAAAGGCTTTTAGTTATATTTTAATATTTCTAATTAAATAAGTAGTTTTTTTATTTAGATTAGTTTACTTCCATTAGTAGTTTGATATATTTATATAGATATTATATTTATAAGTAGTTTAGAGTATTTATAAAAATAGCTAACTTAATTGAATTAGTATAAGTATATTTTTCTATTTTTAGTATTATTACTAATAGATTATAAGTTGTTCTGTTATATTAGTAATACTGTTTATTAGTTTCTATATATTATTTTTATATCTATATTTTTTCTGTTTAATAAAGCATTAGTAATTCTTTAGTTTTTCAAGGTAAATAATGATTTATTTAATTTTATATTCTAATTCACTATTTTCTATAATAATAATATTATTTATTTTTGATTTATATAGTATTAATTTAAAAAGTGAGGTGTAAAATATTAAGGAATATTTTATAGTTTCTAAGAGTTTAAATTTATAGTTAACTAATAAAATAACTTATAAGATTTTAAAAGGTCTAAGTTTTTTAAAGTTAAGCTTATTATTTAGATATTTTATTTTAATATTTTATTATATAAGATAGATACTATATCTTTTTTTTAACCTTAATCCTTTAATTCTTTATTAATTACTAAAGTATATTATCTATTATCACATAAGTTTAAGTTTTGTATATATATTATTTTAGATAGTTTTAATTTATCATATTAAAGTAATAGTTTTTATTATAACTAAACTTAGTTAAAGTTCTCTGTAAATAATAGGTTTAAATCTACAATTAAAATAGAAAAAGGACTTTTTAATATTTTCTCTAATTATACTATTATAAGTAAACTAAGTAATTAATAGTAATACTACTTAATTATTTTAGTTATAATTAATATAAATATAGAGGTAAGCTTTAAAGATTTAGTTACTTTATTTTATTTATTTATTAGTTTGTAAGTAGAATATAATAGATAATACTTGTTTAATACTAAGTTATAAAGTAATTAATTTTTAGAATTCAAAAGTAAAACTTATATCTCTATCTAATATAATTTCCTTAAATATTTTACAATTAGTAATAATATATTTAAAGAATATATAAATAAATTCCTTAGTATTGTTTGATTCTTTATATTAATTAAACACGTATATTTTATACGTTAGTTTGTAATAATAAGAATACTATTAAAATATATTTTTATGAAAGGTTTTTATAATTTTAGTAGTTTAATAATAAAGTTAAGGGATATAAAGTATTAAGTAGTTTATAGTATAAATAAAAGTTATAACAATCTATAAAGCTAGTTTTAAATCAGTTTATTTGCTAAGTAAACTTTATAATTATTAATTATTATTATAATACATTCTGTAATAAGTTTGTTTCTATATTATTATTATAGTTATTATTATAGTTATTCTTAAGTTTTTATAATTTTCTAGTAATTATATGTTAATAAGCTATAGAATTCTATAATTACTTTCTTATTTAGTTTATTACTTAAATTATCCTAAATTGTTTAGCTATTATTAGAAGTTTAGCTATTAGTATTAAGTTTTTATTGTTATATTAATTAAGAATTACTTAAGTTTAATTTAATAGTAAGATATTATAGTTCAATTATTAGTTAAAAGCGTTAGTTTTACGTTTTTTAATCTTTTTTAATACATAATTTAGATGTTAACCTTTAAGAGGAATTTTAACTATCTAATTTATTATTTATTAAATATTTTTAATATAGTAAGATATATTAAGCTTTTATAGTTTATACATATAAATATTTTATAAGTAGTTCTTAAAAGCGTAAGCTATTATTTCTTAAAAGCTTTAATAATTACTATAAACTCTTTATTATAAATCTAATAGTTAAGTTTTAGTTTATAGAGTTTATATAAAAAGAACGTATAGAGATATAAATATTCTTTTAGGTTGTATTAAAATAGTTATATTTTAAAACTGAAATCTAAAATATTTATTTTCAAGTTTAAATGATTTTTAAAACTTTAAAATCTTTAAGATAAGTTTATTAGATATATAGTTTTTAATTTTCTAAAAAGCTATGTTTTAAGCTTTGTTTTATTGAAATAATTAGGTTTTATAGCTAAAGGTTATAAAAAGTATATTAATCTTATTATAATATTTAATAAATTTCTAATAGAAATTAATTAGTCTAAAAAACCTTTATATTTGCTTAAGGTTTATTAGTAGTACCTAGTTTTTAATAGTCTAAATTGTCTTTTAGAAATAATAATAAATCTAACGTATTTTACTTTCTAAGTATAAAAAATATTTTTCTTTAGTTTAATTAAAGTTTAATATTTTAAAAAATTTATAATGTAAATTATATATGTTCTTTATATTATTTATTATAGGGGAGAAGATGAAGATATTATTAAAATAGATAATTATAAAGATATTTATAAATTTCTTAAAATCTTAGTTAATTATATTTTAAAAAGTAACTACAATATTAATAAAACTAAAAAGGATAATAAAGTATTTATAATATCCTCTATATATTTAAAAAAATAGTTTTCTATTTTTGTTCTTTTTTTATTTTAATAAAAGTATACATAATTTTAAGGTCTAACGCAATAAAATAGTTAGCTTTATAGAGAAGTTATTATAATTACTAATTAAAAATACTAAATATTAGTTTTTAATTATTATTTTATTAAATACATAATAGTTAATGTAAAGTTATAGCTTATTATCTTTCTTTAGTATAAATAGGATTAAGTTTTTTATTAGTGAAGTTAATTCTCTAATATCGTCTTTCTTAAGGTTTTTATTAAGCTATTTATTAAAAGCTTTTATCTCTATTAGATTAAATCTATAGGTTTTATTAAATTTAAACCTTTTTCTCTCTTTAATAAAGACTTTATAATTAAAATTGTTAGCACAGGTATAAGCGTATTCCGGGGCGTGGTATATGCGCCTATATAGTATAAGGTTATAGATGTGGTAATGTTATGATAAAAGGTAATAATTCTGAGCATTTATGAGCATTTAATTGTATAGATAAGAATAAGGGAACAGATGTATTGTGATGAGTCTGGTTGTTGTTGTTCGCAGGTTGCATCCTCTAGTAGGGAAAAGTGAGGGGAAAGATAACCTGGAACGTAACCTGCTAAACTGCTAATTACATAATGTGTTTACGTAACTACACGTATTACATAATCAATATTATAGTCATAAGTTATAATAAATCAAGTATTTTTATACAAGGTTTTATACCTTAAACTCTATTAGTTTATTTTATATAGAATATTAAAGTAAGTTTAGCGTTATTATTACTCTTATATTATTATTATTATTATAAAAGAATGTTATATGTTAACAAAAATGTATATATTCTAGTATTTTAGTTTTTAGTTTAGCTATAAAGAGTTTCTTATATATTTTATATTCTTTTAGAATAAACAGAAAGAGATTATTCTTTTAGTTAAGATCTATTATTATTAATAATTTTAATATAACTTCTTTTATTTTAAAATAATAGATATATTGTTTTACTATTTCTTGTTATATTAGTTTATTTAAGACTTAATTTTAATAAAGCTATTTAGGGACTAAATTATTATAGTTCTAATAAAGTTAGCCTTTGTTTTAATCTATCTATAAGTTATTTATTTATAGCTAAAGTAGTTTTAATACTATATTATATATTTCTATATTAGTAATATTAAATTAGATTTTACCTTTTTAATTTA